TGTTCTAGACTTATCAATATACTGCACTCTTCTGCTATCCTGAAATGTGCCCTGAGAGAACGCTACCCCGAGACTGTGGTTGTTGAGTAGCCCGGGGAAAAAGCCATCCTGGGCCGTCGACGAATGTCAGAAAGAACACCGCGCTCATCGGCCCGAGCAGACCGGATGCTGTCAGTCAATATGAGCCGCCTTTCTTGACTCGATTTAGCTGGCTACCTTGAGCCAACGTCGGCACGAAGACTGTGTGAATGCGTGGAAGCCCATCTCCACGCCTCACTGAACATCGGATCTTGACGAAATGAAACCGCCCAATATTGTGGGGATCTTTCGCCAAAGCTCGAGCCGACGTGATCTCAACACTCACTCAATCTGCTCTGACCGATCCCCGCTCCATATAGAAGCGTCTCGGCGGTGTATGCGTCGTGGAGCTGTGGTTGTAGTTGAACCCCAGTCAGGTACGGCGATACATGAGGACCACTGGGAGCCCAGTTGAAGGAATGATAAGCCCTCGAGCCTTTTGCGCGAAGTAGGTCGGCTAGGCGCGCTCACCAAGTAAGGTCGGAAGTAGCAATAGTGGCGGACGAGCGCGCTAACGGCTCTCCCGTACTACGTTCGAAGTCCCCTAGAGTCAGCTTTCAGAACGAATATAAGCTTGTTTGAAGACCCGTTGCAAGCCTGTGGACGCATGATCTGCGGTTCCGGGTTCGCTTTTCGCACCTTTCAGTAGACCGTTTCACGACATGCGCTATCAATTCAATCAAGAAATGTCCAAGCACGGGAGCATGTGAGCCGTGGGTATGTATGCAGAAAACGATAAGAATAATAGCAAACAAGGAATAGACTAGTCTCACTACAGTCATGCGACTTCCATCTTCACAACGCCCTGTATCGGCTAACACCACAATCAGTACACATCACCCAACCTCAACGCTCTGAAAAGACACTCACAGCCTGCACCGCACCGCCATTTCCATCCGGCCGAACACTCCAAACGCTCCCCCCACCCCCACCAACCTTACTCTTCCAACACACCTCCCTGATCTTCGCCTCGATCGCGTTCTTCTTGACCTTGTGCGCTTTCAAGTCCTGATACACCGCGTCCACGAGCAGCGGTAGAGAGCCGGTGTTCATCTGCGAGACTTTGGTGTGCAGGTATGTGAGGTGCGTGTCAGGGAAGGCCGATTTGGGCTGAGGTTTGGGTTTTTTGGGTGTTGTGGGGTCTGACGTGGCGGGGGAGGGCGTGGTGGGGGTTGAAGAAGTTGCTGAGGCGACGTGGGCGGGGAGAGTGGGGACGACGAATTGGACTGAAGTTGGGGCGGCGGTTGGAGGTTGGGCGGTAGGAGCTGGAGCGGGCGCGTTCTTCGCGATGGTTATGGGCTGCGACACGAACGTGAACGGATCCAACGGCGAAGGCGAATCTGTTCGAACGTCTCATCAGCCAAACCATTTCACAAGCGAACCAAGAAGACGAGAACTGACCATTGAAGAACTGTATCCTGTACTGATTGAACGGTTCATACTCGCACCGTCCAATCTCGCCCTCCAAACACGGGCCCTTCACAAACGGCACGAGCGGCACAACGACCTTCCTCTTCTTCGCCCTTTCCTCGCCCTTATCCTTCCCTCCCGCTCCCGCCTCCGCCTTTCTCTTCTGCACAGGCGGCGGCGGAAGCGGCATATCGAACGGATCCGCGCCGAACCCCTCGCGCTCTTCGATAGGCGTGACAGCCCGCTCGTCCTCCTCATCGTCGCCCACAAGCCACCCGTCCATCTCGTCCTCGTCCGCACTCCCCTCCTCATCCTCCTCCGCATCCCCCTCCGCAACATCCTCCCCGCCCTCCTCCTCATCCCAATCATCGCCGCTCTCGTACCCATAATCCAGCACCGCGTCGTCCTTCACCAGCGGCGTCCGCGCGCCGATCAGCCGCGAGCGGCGCGTGAAGGTGCCGAAGTAGCCCGGGCGCGCGTCTTCGTGGAATATGAGGACTTTGGCGGGGTAGCGCGTGCGCGAGGCGAGGGCGGTGGTGAGGTGCCGGACGAGCGTGGCGTCGCCTGTTACTTCGGCTTCGGAGAGGCGGGAGAGGAGCGTGCGGACGGGGTCGGGGTGGTAGGTCTTGAAGCCGTGCGCGCGGGCGTTGAGGGATGAGGGGGGTGGGACGCCGGGGATGAGTGTGGCTGTAGAGTATGTGGTCAGGTTGTGTAGTGTAGAGGTTAAGCAGATGAGACGTACGTTTGTACCCGGGCTTCAGGACCTCCACGGGCGTCTCCACCACCTCGATCTCATCATCCCCGCCCTCAACCGGCTCCTCATCATCAATCACAATAACCTCCTTCCCCTCCTCCTCGACCTTCCGCCTCTTAATCGGCACCCTGAACGCGTTAACCGGCGCCATGACGCTGCCCTTCTTCAACACGAACGGCTTAAACGTCTTGTCAAAGTCCGACACCCTGGGTATGGTGGGAGTAGAGGGCGTGCGTTCGAGCGTGACGGGCGGGGAAGCTTTGGTCTTGAAGAACGAGGCCATCATGGACTGCGATTTGGCTTGGGCCTCTTTCGCTTTCTTTTCTTTCTCCGCTTTGGCTGCTTTGCGCTCCTGGCGCTCTTGCTCCTGCACGATATGTCAGACGAAGTCAACCGTGTCAAGTGTACGATATACGCGTACCTTCGCAGCCGTCTCGGGGTTCTTCGGTCGCCCGACCTTCTTCGCCGCCGTCTCGCCAGTTGCACCATTCTCCGCCTCTCCTCCATTGACGGCGGGTGTCTTGGGAGCTTCTTTCTCCTTTGGCGGTGCGTTCGACGCGTCGAGTACAGGAACAGAGTCAATTGAAGGCACACTGGGTAGTGGTTGTAGTTTGGACTTGGGCACGGCGTCGGCTTTGATGCCCAGCATCGAGCACTGCTCTGCGTGTGGTAACGCGTCGAATATCGATTGAAGCTCTTTCTGCATCTACATGCAATCGTCAGCCCCATGTACATTATCCATGAGTATATTCGAACGCACCTGAACGCGCTCGGCCAGCCTGCTCTGCGCCTTATCCCTGCTCGCCTTAGGCAGCCACTCCCAATTACAACTCGCCACTTCCCACCTCCACACGCACAGCGCCGCAGGCGGCGCCTTGCCCAGGCCCAGATTGCTGCCGTCGACGCCGTAGTTCGTGCGCTGGGCTACGGATTTGATGGCGGATTCTACGGCGTCGAGCGTTAGTGGAGGCTGCGAGGGCGTCTCGTCCTCGTCGTCTTCGTCCGTCTCGGGTGTGAGTTGTTGGTGGATGTGTTTGGCGAGGGCGGTTGCGGTTTTGTCACTTTAGAATATGTTAAGAATGGTCACGTGTGGGGTGTGGTGGGGACACTCACCTCTCGTGTACGAATTTGGCGATCAAGGGGTAGAACTCCGTAGAGATCACGTCGAGCGGAGGCTCGGATTTCTCCACTCGTGATTCGAGTAGTTCGCGGAACTTGACGGTCTCTGATTATATTGTGCGTGAGAAACGCGTCGAGTGGGGTTGTGGTGGGGAACGTACCCTGCATGGTCTCTGTCGCCTTATCGAAGGAGACGGGTTTCTGCTTGAAGACGACTTTGCCGTTCTTGATGTCTACATTCTTCGGTTTCGGTTTGGATGCTGATTGAAAGTTAGTATGTGGGATAGCTGTGGTGTGCGCCACGCACGCGAAGCTACGTTGGATGGGCCAGGTGCGCCCTCCTGGGGCGCTGGGACTACACATATACGTTAAACAGAGCACAAACATGCATATTCACGCGTATCCGTACCTGTGCCAATTTCCGTGGTAGCCATGTTGCCCGTTTGGCGAGGGGTTCGGGCAAGTCGAAGCGGGGTGATGGGAGCAAGTTGGCAGACGCGCGCGAGCGCGAACCACGGCGCGTCGGTCAACAAGGTGACAGTCACATCACGTCACGCGTTTACTCGACGCGTCGCGACTCACTTGCGCGTCAGACGCGTTCCCCAACCTCGACCACCTACGACCGAAATGAACAACTTTTTCACCGTCAAGTCTACCGGGAAGAAGTCTAGCGGTAAACAGCGTGCGGTAGACGACGCGAACTTGCAGCCTTGGGTCGAGAAATAGTACGCGTTTTACTTTGTTATATGTTGAAGGGAGCGAAACTGAACTGTATGGACAGTCGGCCGAAGACGGTGGATGATGTTTCGGCGCAGGAACATGTTGTCGCTGTACTCTCCAAGACGTTACAGTCAACAAATGTACGCGATACTTATATAACGTATAATAATAAACGCGGCCGCTAACGCGTCGAGCCAGTTGCCACACATGCTCTTCTACGGCCCACCCGGCACAGGCAAAACATCCACAATCCTCGCCCTCGCACGCCAACTTTTCGGGTACCACCCCCTCCCTCTCCCCTTACATACCCCATTCTGACTTTCTTCTCCCCCCTCCACCCATTTAGCCCGGACAACTTCCGCAACCGCGTCCTCGAGCTCAACGCCTCCGACGAACGCGGCATCTCCATCGTCCGCGAGAAGATCAAAAACTTCGCCCGCCAAACTCCCCGCGCACAAGTCTCGGTGTCGTCAGATGGCAAGACGTACCCGTGTCCGCCGTACAAGATTATCATATTGGATGAGGCGGACAGTATGACGCAGGATGCGCAGGCGGCGTTGAGGCGGATTATGGAGAACCATGCGAGGATTACGAGGTTCTGTTTGGTTTGCAATTACGTTACGCGGTACGTCGTGAATGCTTTCTCGAGTACGCCGTGTTCGGAATATGCTGATTGAGTACAGAATCATCGAACCCCTCGCATCCCGCTGCTCCAAATTCCGCTTCAAACCTCTCGACCCAACATCCACCCTCGCCCGCCTCCAACACATCTCCTCAACAGAAAACGTCCCCGCCTCGCCCGCCGTCCTCGAAACCCTAATCTCAGCCTCATCCGGCGACCTCCGCCGCGCCATCACCTATCTCCAATCCGCCGCGCGCCTCCACGCAGCGGGAGGCGCAAACGCCGTAGAGATCACGCCGGAAGACGTGCAGGAGATCGCGGGCGTCGTGCCGGATAGGGTCGTGAAGGACTTTGCGAGGTGTCTTGGGGTGGATGTGCAGGGGGATGGGACGGAGGGGGATATGGATGTTGATATGGATGGAGTGGGCGGGAAGAGGAAGGGGTTCGATGCGGTGCGGGGGAAGGTCAAGGAGTTGATGATGGAGGGTTTCTCTGCTTCGCAGTTGCTCTCTCAGGTCAGTCCTCAACCTCTCCCGTTCTTGTCGAATTCGTATGCTGAATCCACGTCTTGACAGCTACACGACGTGATTGTCCTACATCCAACACTCACGGCGCGACAGAAGAGTAAATGTGCGTTGGCGATGGCCGAAGCGGATAAGGCTCTAGTTGACGGCGCGGATGAGGAACTCTGGATCTTGGAGGTCGCGTTGAGAGTGAGCAAGGCTGTTGCGACGTAGCGCCGCTCATGCGGATATTTGATGTTTGTCACGCACTCTTGCTCTACTACACTTTCCTTGTCGCTCTATCGCCAATGTCTTTCATCTGCTCGCAACAACTTGTATCAATCTTGAGGAGGGACACAATGCTCTCGACGTTCACAAGCCTCGCGCGCAATACATGAATGGCGATACTCACGCGACGTGGACGTCGCAAATGATATGATCGCGCAATAAGGAGTCAGGACAACTCGATGCTTGCGAAACGCTTCAGCCCCATTATGATGGCAACGGTAGACCCACATCTGCGCCAATCTTAGCGCCATCCGTATTAGAGATACTCCGACGACCCAGTTCATCTACCCCACCATCAGTCCCGTACGTCGGAAACGGTAGAGGCCAGAGTTAGCTTACCGTCAGCTGCATCAGTAGCGGGAGGTTCAACACTTGAACCCCGGGAGTTAAGTTCCAGACCGGTGCCGCTGGCAGCGGATACAACGGCTGATATGGATCTCGGTCAATGCGAATCATGGGCTGGAGGCGGATCGTCTACGTACAGCGCGTTTCGATGCCTCGTGTCGCCGTTAAGGGCGCGGCCGAGGTGGTCGGCATGGACATCAATAGCGACAGGCTGGCGACGAGGAGATACGGCGCGAACATGAGCATAGCGGCTTATATATTGGTGGGGAGGTGGATAGCAGAAGAAGAGGTCGGAACCGGGCAAGGAATAATATGCCTGGAAGAGGAAGAAGGAAGTAAAGAGGATTTAAGGCGTGTTGAAGAGATAAAGTTAGAGACGACAAATGACGAATGAAGAATGAAGAATGGGGTGTTCGCGTTGCTCCTTGGTAAGCATATATAGTCACCCAGACTATCACGAAGATAATACGGGCCGTTGAAAATGAAGTACGTACTCCATCTTGCTGGTTCACGACCATCTGTCGCCAGCCTGAGCTCCGTCTTTGAGCTTCTCTAAGACTAGGACACCGTCTTCGAGTGCCAGCATACGTGACGCGCGCGGGCTCGTGAATCTCATCAAGTTCGGATACGAATGCGGCTCGTAGCGGTGACGGCCGCGAGGGCTATTCTCCACTACTCTTCTGAGCTCGATAGTGCCTAAGTATAGCTAGTGAGTGTGCGACCAGCTCTGCACGTATGAGGGATCACTGCTGTCGCCGAACGTGTCATTTCGCACGAGAAGGGGGATGGAAGATCTCGTATGCCCTTAGCCTACGGCGTCACCCGTAGATATGGTCTATCTAAACTTCTCGTACGAGAGAAGGTATACGTCTGCCCAGTAAGCCAACTTGAACACTTGGCCTCGTCCGAGTCTAGGATGCTCTCAAGGGGTCTCAGTCCAGCCGGAGGGGTCGCCGCATATATGATCTCGATAGATGTCTGAAGCGGTTGGACAAGTAGTACATATCAACGTGCTAGCCAGATGGCCGCCCAGGTTCAGACGCCCGCAGGCGCATGCGAATTTCGATCAGTAGGTCACACATGGCAGAGACCAATGAAGGGCGGCTTTGTCCCCGACCACCACCACGGGCGCCCAGAAACCCTACCGGAACTCGTGCGACTCAGCTTCATGGACAGCAAACCAGCATCCGGTACAAACAAGTCCCATCGTGTTGGCCGAAGTGCAAGAGGCAGGATCCCTTGCAGTGCGTGCACTGAGTGCACGAGGCGCTCGCGGCAGCTCGCGGCCCCGTGACAAAATCGCGCGGATAACCAAGACCCCCTAAATGGCGGTGACCGCGGCGCGAACGTTCCCTTGAACGTCCAGCAGGCTCTTTAATCTCATCACGCGCCCGAGCCTACAAGTCCGGTACCACGTGCTTGTGAGTGTTCTTTGTTGTTCGCGGAATGTCAAGCTGATGAAGATCAACCAGCATAATCACTCCGCGCCATAAATGTCAATCCGGTCATATATAGGAGTGCTCAACCCTCTTGAGGATCTTGTACGACCAGAGCGTGCTTTCAGTGAGGGCTGGGAGTTTATCCCCCGTGATGGTAAAAGGTACACGGAAGAGGTACGCTATACACTTTTGTGCGCATGGATGGTGCTCACAGAATCACCTTCAGGATTGGAAAGCATGCTTCACGCAGCAGCCCCTTATAGTCAACGGGCAGTTCAAGGAGCTCAAACCCTACCTTTGCCCCGCCATGGGAGGCTGCCCCGATCTACCCGTTCGACCACCCATTCTTCACTTCGGATGGCGTCTCGAGCCCGCACAGGTCATGCCCATCATCCGCGCTCAGTTCCCCGACCAAATTCGCGAGGCTTGGAGAAGCCAGGAGGAGCTCGACCGTTTCATTGACGAAGATGATGGACCAGAATTCACCAGCGAGGGGATGCTCGCCAATCCCGTGCGCAAGGGTGAAAGCGTCACTGATACTGTATTCAGCCCCTATCTTCAGGATGCCTTGCATGACCATCTGCGTCTTGGACTCAAGCAACGTCAGCAGCTCAACTTCAGCGTTTTCTGCGACTCGCGTGGTGTACCAGGAATCGGCCTTAGCATCGGGACGAGCTGTCAGGGCATCTTGGGACCGCGGACTCGCGAGAAGGTGTGCGAGCTGTTCAACCTTGAGATCTCGGATGCCCAGTGGTACCTCGATCGGAAGTTCTGGTACTGGTTCAATCGCCGTGAGTTCTCGATGCCTGTTTTACCATATTCTCGAGTATGAACATCGTCGCAGGTCCCGGTGCTCGTAGTTCGTCGCCGGAGGAAACATCGGCCATGCAGCATGCTGTTTCACCGGAATCCAGCACATCTTCTCAATCAAACGCCCCCTTGACATCGTCGGGGATGCCAATTGAGAGCCAGATTACCGCGTTAACTATCTCAGATAACATCGCTGTGTCTGGTATCTGAACTCCCGGAATGTACTCTAGATGATGCGCAGGATTTGTAGACTTCCCATTGGTTTATATCCTGCATAGTATCGCTCGGCAACGTGATTGATTGAACTCCATAGCTCTGTATTGATATTGTGCAATCGTCTGCGACGTCCCAATTGGTTTGCAAGAGTCCGCCAAGGAGTGGCGGGAGAGGGCGAGCGATGGGTCTTTCACCGACTCCACTCGGAATTATATGATCTGAAAGGCAAACATGCTTCGTAGAATTGGACTGGATGACGGGGAGAAAGGTTTCTACATGATGGAGAAAGGACAGACTTCCGATCAGATAATGGCCAGTCATTCCAAATGTACGTGCGCATGGTGGTCTGAATAATCTTTAACCCAGGCAATTCGTCTGACTGCGTCCGAACAGATCACCGCCCGACTCCGGCGCCTCAGTCTCCCCGACGCCCGGAAAGCCTTCACCATCTGATTATATTATCCTCAGTAAACAGGTACGGGATCTCAGGCTAAAGGCACGCACGGATCTTTACATATTGCCTTGGAGTCAACGTAGGGAGTGTGAGTAGACTTGTGCAGCTCTTCTCTGGTCCGGGGCCTGAATGATCGCGAGTCAGGCAACAGGAAAGTCATCGCAAGATTCAGTCGCTACCTTCGTCTAGGGATGTAGACACATGACTTTCATGATTGCGGCGCAGCGTATTTGAGGGAGTGTGCGGCGCGGCAAGGCTTCCGGTAGTCGAGTAGAGTGCCAGGGCACAGCCGAGAAGAATGCGGAGGCGAAGGTCGAACATGATGATAATAATAATGGAAGTTGAAGTGCGAAGAAAACTGGAATCTAGCGATATGAGGTTGATTAAGATGAGCAAAGGGAATGCGAGGTGTAGTAAGATCGCAAAGAGAGAATGGGGTTCCAGTTTTGGACCGGAGGGCTTTTATAGGCGATAGGGAACGGATGTCGAGCGGAGCTTCATGCTCCAAGCGTCAATACTGACGGCCAAAGTCGTTGCAAAAAGGGACGAATCCTCAAGAGCGGTGTCCAGGTTGTCATGTATCGAGACGTGTAGCATTGTCACGTAGGCGGACGTTGGTGATGCACTACGGAGCACTTTTTCGGTAGTAAGGCCAGAACGGTTTGCGCATATATACAACCTCCGCCTCCTCCACTGAGCAAGAAGCCTGAGCGTACCTCAGAGAAGGTCCTTCCCGTGGATCATCGGAAAGGGGACGTGTCGGCATCGGAGCGAGCAGAGAATGTGCGACCAGTCCGTATTCATACTTAGTGTGTCGCCATTCTGGCGCGACTCTGCGAGTCGGTGAAACGAGCAAGTATCTGCGATGTGATTATGGACTACGAAGCGATACGTACGCTCTTTGCGTCCATCTAAAAGCGCTTTAAGGTGGGCTGCGTGCCAGGGCTCATCAACATCAATCTAACAATGACCTGATGACATGAATGGAAGCCTGTACCTTCGTGAAAGCAGAGTTGAAGGGCCACCGTTGCCAGCGCACTGTAACGCGAGTTCATGAAATAGGTATCAGGGTACATGTGCGTCTACGAGGACTGGCTCGTGGTCGTTGCGTGGTGGTCGAAGCCAAGATCGTCTAGCGCCCGCGGGCGACGCCGCGTCTTGAACCCTAACCCCAGGACCCGTCGGGAAGTAATCTCGAAACCAAAAGATGAGCACCGCATATGTGCTCAGTATGCTAGCATGATGTGACCCAGACATCTCTAGATCTTTCTTGCCATGCTTTATAGGGATAGGTTGTCTCCCGGAACGCAGCGGTCTCAGATCTTCGCGGCGACAAGTCCGTTGAATGGTCGATAAGAGACTATTGTACACGACATTGCTACTCGATGACACTATATGTTCCTAGCGCGAGTCCCAACATCTCTTGCTACACTCAACAAGCTTATGCAGACTGTACGGACACGAAGCGCCTTACGCTGGACCGGTGAACTGCGGGCCGCTATGCTCTATGAAAGTCGGTGGAGTAGGGTTCGGAGGGGAGACGGCGGGGAGAGGGAGAGAGCGGGCTCGGCGTATCTACATTAGGGTTAGCATTAGCGTAGCAGCGCCGCGACACACGCGAGCGCATCTCGTCTCGAATCATCATTACCGTTCAGCGCGGCTGCTTCCGCTTCACTCTCCCGAGGCCGTGCTCATCGGCACGCCTCGCCGCTCCGGTTCTACGATGGTATTGTCTAGCTCCGGCTCAAGTTGAACTCCTATCCCGGAAGCACTGAGCGCTGCAAAGCCGTCAGCCGGACTGCGAGTAGGCAAGGCTCTACTCGCCACTGACCTCGTTCGTATCCAGTTCGAGGCTCGATAGGCTCGGGTAAGTCACGTTTGACTGGTACGTCCCCCGCTAGAGCATCTGTGAATATCAGATGTCAGATCGAAGGTGACCGTAGCGGGAAGTCGGGGTACGGGGCTTTCCAAAGCGAAGGCATACTGTCTCCATCGTTACCGGCCGAGAGAGCGTTCCCAGTAGTATGACGGCCTTCCAGGAACGGCGCGGCAAGAGTGCTCGCGGCTTGGGACGTGACCACGAAGCAGAGAATAAAGCGCGAGAGAAGTGCGAACATTCTGTTCCCGCAAGAAGTGAGGAAAGAACGAAAGAATAGCCTGAGAAGAAGGAAGACCGGTAGGACGGATGGTGAATAGCAGGTAACGAAGAGGGCGCTGGTATGTTCGTTCTCATAGCCGGTAGAGAAGGAAGGTCCATGTACGTAGCGGTATAACTACGGACAGCCATAAGACTGCTGTTCGTAGGCAGGAAACATCCACATGCTACATAGCGCGTCAATTTGAGAGCTGGACATGATGCAGCGAGAAAGAGCGAGGATGACACGGTACGCGACCAGGCGCACATCTCATCCTAAGTTAAACTCCATAACCTGGCTTGGAATGGTTGTATGAAATGAGGATCACCAGGCTCTGCTCCTGATACTCTATTAGAGGTACTCACGACGACGATATGATGTGAGTACGCACCTGCCATAACACATTCTCAACCTCGCTATCGTACCGACGTACCCCACAATCACTCGAACTGACTGGATTCGAGTCTGCAATGTCGTAGTCTGATGTGACGTTCATCAGCCACCCACGCTCTGAAGACGTGCTCACAAACTAACGATACGCACGCTCTCGATACGTGGTCGTCGGCACGCCCGGCGGTCAGGAGGCAGATGCCTGCCACGGACCAGAAGCATCGACCAGGTCTATTGATGCAAGTCAGCAATTCCGGTAGTCAAGGTGGCCGGGTACGATCTCACCGTGAACTGGTACGGGGGTGCTAGAACAAAAACTACACGTACTGCGCATTCGCTCGTTAGAAAGATGACTATTTTGCGCTCCGCAATCCTTCAAGCAAGTCCTTCATGTCGTCGTGCATTGCAATGCATTCCAGCATGCTCTCCTCAGTAACGACTCCACGCTCAGCGACACGGCGAGCTCGTGCGCGATGACTGATGGTCGCAAGTGCACGCCTGAACGCCTCCTGGCGGCCTGCGCTGTCCGTGTTGGCGGGAGCGATACAGGCTGGTAGTCATAGCGAGACGATAGTATCAATGGGAGCTAGGCACCCTGAAACCCATGAAAGCAGATGGCAGTGTCTGTCTGAGCTCAACGCTGCACGCAGCGACCAGCCGACCCGCGCGACCGTTCAACGCGGTCACATGTCTTTCATCCAGATACGACTTGATCTGGCTTTCTTGCGACACGTTTTGATGGATCTGTGAGACTCTATGCGGCGATGACCCGGTGTACATCTTCTTAGCCATTCAAATAGCACGGCCCTTCGGGCAGTCCTGGTCCCAAGCTAATGCCGTACCAATTCCAATGCACAATTTTAGGCATTTTACCGTGCTCACCGCATCACTTTCAGTCTAGCAATCGTAGCGAGCTCAAACTCGGAGTTGCTGCGGACAAGCGCCGACGTCTTTTGTACGGTCGCTGTGCCATCACACCACTCCTCGAGACTGTACCGAAGACTACGCGTGTGCCCAGCCTCACCTGGACCGACGCGCCACGCTCGCCTCGGCCTTCGCTTCGCTCACCCGAGGCTCGCATGGCACAAGAGCCTGAGGGGGACTGTTGTCGCAAGACACGAAAGCTGTGTCCGTGCTCGTTCTCTGCAAGTGCCTAACAGTAAGCATTCTGTCCTACGAGAGTGCTGGGTAATCACTCCTTACGCATAACTGGCAAAGGACTGAGAGAAAATTGACAGGAAATCGAGAATAAACGCGGTCACATGACGCTCCCAGCAAACCTCACCCCTTTCTTTCATCTGTAACCTGGATCCCAAAAGGGACCAGGAACTGAGCGCCGCAAACGTTCTCCAATCGCCCCATGACTCACGACAAGTCCCAAGTTACAATAATAATAGTTCATACAAGGCGCCACTCAGGAACACGCGCGTGCGGACGGCAGGGCCCACGACTAGTGTCAACGAAACCAAGTCTCAAGATACACTCTCCGTTCTCCGAAGTGGCCAATATAACGTGATGCAGCGTAAGGATAACACTCGACTCTCGTCTAGCTCCACGCCCAGTCTCCAGTGAGTGGACTGGGCACCATCTTCTCGTTACTGTGTCCTTGCTCTTCCCCTGACTGAAGTCAGCACCAATCTCGTCCATAGAAGGTAGCTTGTGCTCAGGTAGCGTACTAGTAGCATCGTTGTTGCCCGTGTTGTCGGATTGGTCGTCACCGGAGCCTGTACTATCGGCATCAGGCCATCCGGTACGCGCTGCCTCCGAGCGGGGCTCAACGATCCCCCCACTAGACGGAGAGGGTGCTTAATTGGTCAAAAGTCAGACCAAGCACTCAGATGAAATAGAGGTCAACACACTAAAACACCCATGATCGTGAGCGGAGCCTGTACTAGAACCGAAGATAACACCCACGTCTGCGGGACGCGTCAGCCAACGATAATGTAAGAACAACCATCCCGACTAACCTGAACAGGAGTTGACTCCACCAGGGTGGACGTCGCGGGGCTTGAGAAGTGGCGCGGCAAGAGTGGGGTGGAGTGGAAGCGACAGGATGATCATGCCGAACACGACCGTGCCGGGAGATACTAGAGAGAGCATCGAAGAAAAGTGTTGATGGAATTGAGTGGGAAAAGGGGGAAGATATAGATATAGAAGAAGGGTGAGTGAAGGCGAAGAAGAATGAGTGCCTTTCGTCGCCTCGTACTTCCCTTTTGTACTCGCAATCAGCCTGAACGTGGTCAGCCTCGCATATGTAGCTTTGCTCCTTCTCTGGACGTACAGAATGGATGGGGAACAAGGAGCAACGCCCAGCGGTTGCGACATCACGCGTTTCGACGCTCGGATATGATCCAACGCCAGGCCTAAAACGTTGATCACCCCCAGCGGGGCATTGTGAACCAACTCAAGGTAGGCATGTCACGACAAACAATGCCTGGTATAGACTGAAGTGTGGGTTCTGAAGTAGAAGGAAGACGTCAGAAACATTCTGAGGACCATCAAACAACTAGGCCACGACTCAGAGCCCTTTTTCAGCCCCTCACGTACGTATGTGCGGATCGCGCACGAAGACTGCACACAGCCACGTTGCATTCAAGACCTTGAAACGCACGATTTCGTGACGGTTGGCGATAGTGTGCGTATCGGCAAGATCTACATTCGCGCTGCGGCTCGCCTTCCTTGGCAAGATATTGTGTTCCTCCCTTCCACGGCTCCCGAATCTGGCGGCAGAGACCACATGGCGAGTTGACAGCCAGATCGATTTTCGCTTAGTCAAGTCACCGGGCAACGTTCACTGGTCATGAGACGGAGAATCAACAAAGCGATGACCATATACGCTGACAGTGACCAGAAATAAACACATAATGATACGGATTGGCGGCACGACGGTCGCTTCACTGAGAAGCAAGATCCCATACCCGAGCTTGGTATGCCTCGTCCGATTCGCCTCGTTGATGTTGTGCAGGATACATATTCCCCGACTCCCCTCCTGACAGATGAAAACGTCAGTCGCCCGCGTGCATGAATGATGCAGAGGACACGTACTGATGATGACCTTCTCGAGGTTATCCCTAGCGTTCAGCATGGGCTCGAACCCCAACGTCTTGAGCATATAATATCGCAATCTGCGCAAGCGTGTCAGTACCTCCTCAAGGCGCTACGCGCGGTGATTGCGACGTACGCTGTGCCATCAACCTCAAAGTCTTCAGCGGGGTTCTCCGCCTCAAGCTCTCGCAACTCCTTCTTCAACCGTATAAGTTCGCTCTGATCAGCCGCGAGGACATCGCCGAGTTCAATGTGTTTCTTGGATGCCCGTTGGCTGTCCTCTTCCGCCGCGTTCAACATCTCCTCGTGCTCTTCAGCCGTTGGTACACCCGGTGGTCGGGAGGCGGATGCGCGTTGCGCGTCGAGAGCACTGGCCAATTCTGTGTGGCAGAGTTAGTGACTTCGACAGGAATAGGTACAGTAGAAGCGTGGACTGGGCAAGGGACGTTGAACGAGAGCTATACGCACTCCGCAACCGTTCATGCATCTCATCCAGATCCTTCTTGCGCGCCGCCGCCCTAGCTGACATCTTCTCATCGGCTTCAACGATCGTTAAATAATCATCCTCGGGGTTGAGAGCCGCGGCAAGCTCGTTCATCTGCTGGCTGCGTGAGCGCGCTTAGAGATATAGCGGCGGTACGTGGGGCGCGGGCAGGACGAACATGACTTCATCTGGGTCCAATCTGTTGCCTTCAATAGCCATTATAATTCATGCGCAAAGGCATGCAGCTGCGTAGTGGAGAGTGTGCCAACTTCAAACAATGTCGGCGAAGTTCGAGTGGTGGTGGTAATGGTTCAGTGTGTTCATTCTCGTGTTCTGTACGAAACAACACAGTGCACGGTCAACGCGATCACATGCGTTCCGACTTGTTCGAATTCATTGCAACTAGGTAGTATCTGACCACCTTCAAGCATAATGAAGAGACATCAGGCCCAGGTCCCTGTACGATGTCTAGTCCTCCTAATGCAGAGGACACAAGAATGCAAAAAGTCATCTTTTATGATGATGCACGGGCCTGACCGGGAATTGAACCCGGGACCTCCTCCAAATTGCTCGTTGAAGCCCTAAGAAGGAATCATACTACTAGACCATCAGGCCGTACTGCAGCAATACATTGATGCGTATTGATGTTTAACCTATGGTTAAGGTGAATACAAGAGCCATCGCGTTATGATGCGCCGGCGCCCTATCTTTCTTTCTCACTTGCATCGCATTTTGATCCCGTCAACGGTAGTGAAACTGTTTTTGCAGGCGCTTGAGTCGCACGCAGTGCGGAACCTCGACGATGAGCATTGGTTGACAGTCATTTAACGCAGTGCGCGCTCCGTCGGATGGTCGGGTCAGCCTGGGTCAGCTTGAAATATCTAGTGGGCAAATGATGAACTGTCGACTAGTAGCGCTCTTTACTCCGAGAGTCCTTACATACCCGCAGCTAGGCGCCCGCTCGATCGCCACGCTGATCTCGGCAGGTAGCATACTGGTTTCCACGTTGCGTCGAAGCAATCGTTTCCATCGACGTCTCCGTTCCTCGTCTCAACGTGCGGAAGCGGATGGCTACACTTGATCCAAATCTACAAATCTGTGCAGGGTTGGTGCAGGGCATTAGCCGACGCCTCGCGGCAGAGCAGCAAGGAATCGGCTGGTGCGCTGTATAACCTTCATTGCGCATGACGGATAGTATACTGACGATACCACGAAAGGCTGTTGGCGCTATTTTGTCAATGCACCTATCGAGTGTGGATTCAGCTTTATGGCGCGACACGGCTCGTGCACGTTTGAACCCCCAACTACTGGACGATAGAGTCTGTAGAACTCATATTCAGTTGATACGGGCGTAATGTGTACGGCGCCGAGCTGTGAGAACGGGGTTGTCGCAGCGATGATATGTCGGCCTCATGTCTTGCTCGTGTCTAAAACGAGGTTTAGGGACGGTCGCCACTACTACCCTGTTTTGATCTTGTTGACCATCATGTACCTTGAATCCGTAGTTGTGGATAGCATATATGTACTCTAGATTACCATGCAGCTGGGAAGTAACCTGATACCACCCGGACTTGACCATGGATAAGTACAAGACAGCCAACGAATGCGTGCCTCATTTGCTCTACGGAGACGTCAAAGTGGCGGCAACACGCCCTATTAGGCAGCGACCGCGACGGCGGCGCATTCCGTGAAAATCACGTTCTTGAGCCTTCGCGCAGGGTATACGTCAATCACAGCGATGTGGCCGGCTAGCACTCTGTCGCGCAGTCGCGTACCCAACGTGCCAGAACCACGGGGACAGTTGTGGACTGAGCTGAACATGACGGAAAATGATCATGAGGTCGCGCGCGAACGTTGTGTGAACACGTTGAACGTCATCAGAGGAACGCGGCTGCAACTTGCCACCCGCCTTCATCTAGCCGAACAGTACAACGATTATCGATGCGACTTCTGCATATCCACGTAATGCACCCGTCAAACGGCGTGCTCCCGGGCTTATTCGAAGGTGCCTCTTCCGGCGCTCTCCACAGGCCGCACCGGTGTCTGGCGCCCGATCTGAGGAAACTCATATTGTTCTCAATCAGCTAACTGGCGGCGCGGCGGCCATACCAGACAAGCTATGAAGAACATGAACCCATAAAAGCTGCTTGAGAGTGTCCTCCATGCCAGACGCTCTCTTCCGTACAATGCCCTCTTTCCTTTCGGCCATGAGCCGACTTCTGGCTAGAACCTCCGGCAAAGCTGCGGCATTGTTTATAAGGTCGATATACTACTCGAAATTTGGCGTTGTCTGACTCTTTGATAGGCGGTTCAACTCGTTATCGGACAAAGTAACGTACGAGGCTTTCCCTATGTCGTGGACGGTTCCCCCCTGCTCAGGGTTTACTGATCACGGTGCCGGTCGCAGAAATCTTCGCCTGCGCCTGGCCCTATTTCATGATTTCATTTATGGGACCGCAACATCCATTTGGGGAACGGCGGTGTGGACTCGGGCGGTTGGAAATTCCGTGATTGCCGGTTCGACCGTCAGAGCTGCTGGGTAGGAATCTCGGTGGATGGGAGCTTACTGTGCTGAATCGATAGTTCAGCGATGGTTTTGCTCAAGCCAAGACGTATATTGCTTCGCCGTGAGTGGTTCAAATTCCCTATTCTACTCCGATGATTAAGGCTTATTCGCGCGTACACGCAGAGACTATGGTGCGCTACATGCGCTCATCATCGGGATCGACGGATACGAATCCAAGAAGATACAACCTCTTCGTGGCGGCGTTTACGACGCTGATGCCATGGATAAGTACTTGCGCGAGGATCTGCGAGTGCCGGCTCACCAAATACTGAACCTACGCGATCGTTCGGCGACGCGCAGTGCCATCATTCGGGAGCTGAAAGCCTTGGCGAGAAACCCGTCGATCAAACCCAATGACCCTGTACTCATCTTCTTTGCTGGGCATGGTGTTTCGGCTAAGGCGCCTCCCAGTTGGGAGAGTGGGAGCGGCATTATCTCTATGCTCGCACCTTACGATTGCTTTGGCACCGAGTCCAATGGGAAGACCATTCTTCCAATACCCGACCGGACCATCGGAGCGCTGTTGCATGAAATCGCAGAGGGACGAGGACTTACGGGAACTGGTAAGGGAAACAACATTGTGAGTGGGGTATATTTGAACGCGACGATCTCCCTCTCACGATCGCTTGAACAGACCGTGATCCTGGATTGTTGTTTCTCTGGCTCTGGGACTCGAAGCATCGAGCGCTCCTCTGTACACCTTGAGCGAGGATTCAGGCTGGACTCTAGTCTCTCGGTTCCCCCATCCCTGGATGATGAGATCTGGAGAGGACCCCACACCAGCCGTGCTATAGATCCCATGACTGGCTTTACTATGTCTGGCTTGAGCTCGCACGTGCTCCTCGCCGCCTGTCGAGAATTAGAACAGGCTCATGAGATCGACGGCCGCGGCCTCTTCACGAGCGCTCTCATCCACGCCCTCCGCCTAGGTGAAATTAACAAACTCACGTACAAGGGTCTCATGCGACGCGTGCTACGGGACTCCAGGTGAGACAATTACCATTCGTTGAATGACTCCTCCTTACATCTCATCAGCTTGAAGGACCAGATACCTCAGTGTGAAGGTCGTTACATCAATCGTGTCCTCTTCAACAATGCAGACTCGGCGAGCGGGCCGTGGGCGATATACCCCGTTTCCCGAACACACCTCGGTTTCACAATTGATGCAGGTTCTGTCCACGGCATAACTCGTAATGATCGTTTCCTTGTTTACGCGACCAGCGGCTGCAGCCCTGATGACACCCCTTTGGCAATCATGGCGGTGACAACCGTGGGTGCGGTGTCCACCGTTCTTTCGCTCGGGTCGGAGCTTGCGCAAGATATCCCCATACCGTGCTTCGCGCTGCATAGCTTCCGAAAGGCAAGGTCACTACGCTTGCATTTGGCATGTTGGGCGGAACCCGGGTCTATCTTGCACACGCTACGCACACAGCTCGCACAAAGCGAACTACCAATCGTCTTCCGCGAGAATGAAGAGGAAGCAGATCTCACTATCCGCGTTCGTGATGGGCACATTGAGTACACCATGGAGGACCCTGTTACGATCTCACATCGTCTATCAAAGCCGTGCATGACGACGGCGGCGGATTTCCGTCAAGTGCAACATGTCCTGCAGGCGGCGGCTCGCTTTTTCTGGCACTTCACCCGCTCTCCAGAGTCACGTCTCATCGCTCGGCATGGCTTACGTGTACGGATCTACGAACTGTGCGAAGACCTGGACGCGGGCCTGGACAACAACCTGCGAGTTCAGCTCAAGCCCCACGGAGAAGATCTGAATCATCTCGGCGTCGTTAGCATTGAAGCTGATAACAAGACCGCCTACGGTGTCGCTGTGGAGAGCGACATCGGCGTACCCTTACACGTGTGGGCATGCTATTTTGACTGCGGGGATCTCTCCATCAGTACGTATAGTTGGGGGACCCTCCATGATGCACAGTCCTGATAATATGCTATAGAGCACTACTATCAGCCGCCAGCATGTGGCGATCGTGGCGAACCTGCTCTTCCAGCAAAGGGGAGGCTCACGATTGGCTTCGGCGACGGCGGAGGGAGTCCTTGGACCTACTTTGTGGCGCCAGGTCGAGACACGGACGTCGGATACCTCAAGGTCTTCGTCTCCACACAGCCAATCGATCTATCCGACATGGCTCAGTGCTCTCCGTTCCGAATTGATGGGAGTATGGAGCGTGGTGGGAGGGAGCTCGTGCACCCACCGAAGGAGGGCTGGGAAGTTGTTACAGTGGCTATCATACACAGGAAGCCTGGTACAGACCCTCCGAGCCTATACACATAGTTCTCCGATTTCGCGAAGGCAATACAATGGCACGTCTATCCTAATTACCTTATTATATTTACTCAGGTGTGCATTGACAACCGTATGTTATGTTGATTACGAGTGCTGGACACGACTATCATATTGGATGGATTCTCTTATCTCAATGTGAGGGCCGTGGGTTTCCAGACACGTACTGCACAATTGAATTGATACCCAATTGTGGTTTGGTGTCCGAAGGCATGCGGTCCAAGCATGCATCAGACCTGCGTCATTGTAGAGGCGCATGGCCTCGGACCTTTGCGCTTGCGAAAGGGATGTTGTTCATTAGACCATAGATATCACAGACACAGTAGTACGAGTATCATCCAAGAGTACTTCGGTTTCAATCCAATGGATCATGCGCCTTAACAGTATAGCAGACGAAAGGATGCAGAGATAGCGGTCCTTTACGAAGGAGATCCCGGGACTTTGCAGCCCAGCGAGTGATGACTAGGAAGACTATTAAGTAGATGATACACAAGACGAGTTTGATGAGGCTACGAACGTGTTGATTTGCTGCCGAACCCAGATCCCGACGTGATTGAAGACTTCGCGGACACAATGGCTGGCGGCCGAACCGTGTTCTTGTCCTCGGCAACAACGGGATATGGCTCGTCACGGCGGAAGGGATTGAAGGCTTGAGGTCTTGCAGCGGCTTCCTCGCGCGCCTGTCTTATACCAAGGCGCGTCTCCGCATCCGCAATAATCCTGCCGACACACATGAGATCGAAAATGAGCACGATATTTAAGATGCGCACTCTCTGATTTTGGCCCGCTCCTCGAGGAAGAGCCGAGGATCCGGGATTTCTCGTACCATGTCGAGATCGTACCAGACGTTCACGACGGGATCATTGACATCGCCAGATGTGTCGAACATATCCTCCATCAGGAGCATGAGATCCCTGTCGAAGTCGTCTGGGTGTGTAGGGCGACCGGCTTCATCTGTGGACCCCCCGTCATCACTGGCGATGATGGAGACATCGTCTTCCGCTGCACATGACGACTGTATGGGTACAAAGGCAACATGACGTGGGTTGGTGTAGCCGTCCGGCAGGTCGACAGACGCATGTATGGGAGAAGGAGGTAAGGGGACCTTGAAAGCAGAGCGTGGCGATGGTGGCAAAGCGAGAGCAGCAACAGCTCCGACGTCGCCGCGCTGCCAACCATCAACCCTGGCAAAATGCTCATGGAGATCATCACCCATTCTGTCGACCATGTAATCCATCTGGTCTTCGTCGCACGGCAGAACTACAGTGTAATCGCGAGGTGTGGCTGTGACACGAACATCAAGGAGATTGAAGTCAAGAGAGGAATCAATGTAGCAGTCTCTCCAAGGTAGCGGATGCGCAGGACAGAGAGGTTTGCGACCGGTCGGATGAAACGTGTTTGGCAATATGGGGATACAGTGATCCTGGAAGACGGGCTGGCCTGCTTGCGTGGCGGGAGGAACGCCTTGCCGCACGAACGTGAATCTAAAGGCATTGATAGGCTCATGGCCAAAGCATACCCCAATTGACTGCAGACGGTCAGCCTTGGAGATACAGGCGAAGGATATATCAACACACCTGCATGATGAACGCTACATAGCGTCGGGTGGGCAGCTTGCGGGCAGCAAGACGAGCCTCCTCGTCTAGATGCGCCACCGAGGCCTCAGGGTCGATGGAGCAGACGACAAAATCTCCAGCACTTGGGAGCCCCGTAACAGCCTGAGACCGACCCCAGTCATGCGGATCTGTGAGGTACTTGAACGGTGGCAAGGTCTTCAGGTAGTCGGGGAGATCATCGTCGCTCATGATGAGTCGGCGTGAGTTGCTGAATGAAAGGAAGTGTATTCATATTTTGCGCCCGGAGCAAAGCAATGCTTTCATGAGGTAAACAAAGGGGCTATTTGCGAGCTATTATGGTCGCAGTGGTCGCAGGAGAACAAAGGGTCAAGCTCTGACGACGTTTAAACCGGAGTCCGGGCCGTCCGGCGTCTCCCAGTGGACGCGGTCATGTGCGTTGTATCAGCCTTCTCTATTTCCAGGATCCTCCCATCTATGGATGGGATTTTGATACAGTATCATAGCCAGTGAAGTTACTATACATATCATAGTACAGGACGCCTCAATCTTCAACGTAGTGAGCTCCTGGAGAGTGGCATACCGCTGCACGGAGAGCGGCGTGTACGAGATCTATGGCAGTATCAGTCAACGCAGCTCACAATGCAGGACAGGCCCAGCTGCTCACTTGACAATCCCCCGATGAGACCTCCTTTACGGTGGTCGGGGATTGAGTGGGCGTCCTGGGCGAGGCGAGCGTAGAACTCTTTCTTCTGCGCAGCAGCGGCTTCTCGCGCAGCTCGAATACCCAATCTTTCCTCGGCGTCGTCGATAATACTGCAAGCAGTCAGGTACGAAATAAAGTTGACGAGGGAAGTCGCATGCGTACCGTCTGATTTGGGCGCACTCGTCGAGGAAGAGCGAAATGTCGCCCACGTCTTTGACCATGTTAAGATCGTACCAGATATCGACCACAGGATTGTTGACGCTCCCTCTACTATCGATCATGCTCTCGAAGTGGTGCAAGATGCCAAGGTCGACGTCGTCACTCAACATTGCAGTCTGCTTCGCGTGATTCTCAGACCCGTCCTCGTCGACACTGCCAATCATCGAAACATCGTCATGATCGTCCGCAAGCCGACTCGCATTTGACGGCGCTCCAGAACTCAGGCTTGCGTCGTCAGCAGCTTCTGGAACTTCACTGGCACCTCGTGTACTCGGCAGAGCTGTTTTGAGAGTCGACGAGGGCGAGACGGGGATGGGGATGGCTGCGATAGCGTCAAGAGAGCCTTCTTGAATCCTGCGCATTCGTTCCTCCTCAACAGCTTTGCTATCATCGATTGTGCACTCCAGGCGCCATAGTTCATCGTAATTCGTCACGGGAAGGACGGGAGTGTAGTCGCGCGGAGTGTTCTTCACCCGAAGGCTACGGAAGTGGAGCTCCTCAGTGGAACTAATGTAGCAATCGTCCCAGGGAAGCGGGTGTAGCGGCGCAAGAGGCTGACAGTCCATCGGGTGGTGCGTATTCGGAAGGACGGGTATACATGAGTCAGCAAAGCTGCTCGGGGGTGTTGTCGGGGGTAGACCTTTCCTCAGGAACACGAAGCGGAACTGATTGACTGGGATATTTTCTATGGGCAGGCCATTCATCTGAAGGCATTATTGTGAGAAAGACGCCGCCATCTCGAGCGCAATAGAGACGCACCATCATGATTAGCCCAACATGAAGGCTCGTTTGGATCTTCTTAGCCGCGCGACGGGCCACCTTATCAAGGTGAGCGACTGAGGCAACTGGGTCGATGGCGAAGACGACAAAGTCTCCAATTCCGGGGTATTGAGCGACTGGGAAATTACGCCTGTAGGTCCTAGGATCCTCCATGTATCTGAAGCGCGGTTTGGGAACGTCTAGAGACACAGAATCGGGCGACATAGCGAGCGAGGTCGGGAGTGAGGGGTGGTGAGTTAAACAGGGGTGGCGACAGGCGCTATAAGTACTTCAAAAGCGTTGGCTTAAGGAAGACTATCGCATGATGGGAACAAGGGACGTTTGGGTTGTCCATTCTGCGGACAAAGGAAATTGAGCATAACCGCTTTGTCGCGGTGGTTGTGGTTGTGGTTGTGGTTGACCAAGTTGATGCACTACTGGCTTAACGCGAGATCCGGGATCAGAATCTTCGGCTGCCTCCGGCTTTCCCAGCTATCGCCACGGCGGCGCTCTGACACCTTCACCCATGGCGAGCACGATCCCATTCCGAAAGCATGTACGAACTGAGGCGTGTCCCCTCACAGAGCACTCTATACTGTCTCGTGATCAATTCTGTCCGTCACGATCGGCTATGTAGTGCCTGCGTTCATATCTCAATACGTTCCACGTCGGTCAAAACCACCACCGCGCGTACCACACTGACTACAGCCCGTGTTTCAGACTTTTCTTTGTTCATTACCTGGCTCGCACTCTTTTGCCCCACCCTTCGAGGTACGCTGGTACAAAACCCTCCCGCATGGCCTTGCTGCATGCATATTCTTTTCCGCCTCATTTTCAGCTAGCCTGAGAGCTACGACCGCGCCTCTCTACTCCAACTCTTACTTCTCCGCAAAATGCTTATACCTCGTGGACCCGAAGCAGGAAAGGAGGAACACGTTCCTTGTTACCACTGTTCTAGTATGGAGCAACACGGCTACGACACACGCGGATATGCCCTCTTCAAGGACGACAATCCCCAGACGCTCTCTAAAGGACAGGTCTGGTCTATCCGCGAGTCTTTGATGCGACCTGTCGCCGAATTCATCAAGAAACACGACCTTGCTCTGGTCCGCCGCGACATGTGCTCGGCGAAATCGCGCGATACTTCCGTCCGCTCCTGGCTTCACTTTCATCGTTGCAAGGAAGGCCCCCGTCCCTGTGTCGTTCGTTCCTTCGGAAGAGCTGGCGATGAAGCCTGGCTCATGGGAACGCTCAACAATGGCCAGATTGCGGATTTATCTCTGATCGTGGACATGTTCTTCGTCCAGGTCGACCCCGCACCCACAGACATGACCCCCTCCGAACAACACGTGCATGCGGGTCCACGCTGGTGCCAGGAAAAGAAGCAATACATCTGCGTTCTTTCCACCGAGCATAAAGGAGTTCGTCCTGCCGGATTCGAAGGTGAAGACCAAGGCTATCTTCTTGAGCGTTGGGTGGAGAGATACGGTTCGCCTGAGGAGAAAGGGCAGCGTTATGGGTTCTCGCAGCATCAACTTAACCGCCTCAACACTCTCAATGTCGCTCGTTGCGAACAGTGGCGGAACATTAGCACCACCGAGAAAGAGAAGGCTATCAAACACTTCCGCGTGAGCACTGGATCCACCAAGTGTTGATGTGTGACGAGGCTGATATACCCGCCTAGCAATTTGTCAATAGACACCAGCTTGACTACGGTGCCGAAGACCTGCCGCCTGGTAGCTTCAGATCTCGTGCCATCCCTTCTCTTGTACGTCAATCCACGTTCTCGACGAAGTTGTTCGCAGAACTCATACGTGTTTGCGCAGTGGAGTGGCAGGAGTGGCAGGAGGTCCGGTCTTAGCGCGTTGTCAAACCTGGGACATGGACATGACAGGCGACGACGCAATTCACGCCCCAGCCTTCGTCGTTAGAGGCTTGCGGCCGTTTCGCCTACCCTACTTCATGACGCTATACTCTTCTACCCTCTTCATACTTGTCCTCGAGTATTGCCAGCCGACTTGTACCATACGTTCGTTCTCATATCGTGTATCATGATGTACTATATTACGATGTACCCCTCCGATTGCGTCTAACCCAGACATAATAATCAGAGTGACTGAAACCGTACTTCTAAGTTCAGTCAATAGTGTGATGAATCAGAAAAGAAAATGCATTGTGCTCTATATGACTATTTTTGAGGTAGCGTTTCGAAGGGGAATCCCAACAGCTAAGTGAAGCGACTAATGTACACGAGACACGAGACAAATAAAAGGGGGTAGAGTCGAAGCGTAAGGACGGATCGGAGAAAGAGTACGACGGGGCAGCCCAGCAGCAAAACGACGCACGCAGACAGAATCCTGATCGAGAAGGGAATATACGGATTTCCACAGATATGTGACTACTTTCGGGGTAATAGTAGCGTTGTATACTTTGGGGGCTATGTATGTGCGTATACGAGACGATTTTGGAGGTTTGAACGACAGGTCGATCCGGATCATGTTGAGAGTCCCAGTTTGAGCGGTAGAGGCGGAAGCGGAAGCGTAGGAAAGCAGGCCAAGCGAGGATGGGTTGTGCGATGTGTGGGTGGGGCGTTTGGGCGTGAGGGCATGGGGACGTGGGGTATAGCAGCGATGGATCCGGGAACCCTTGAATTCGAGGAAAAAGAAAAGAAAAGAGAGAGTTACGAAGGCGAGCAAACTATGAACAAGCATTCTTCGACGTTATCGAAGTCGAGTTGGTATGGCATGATATTCGTGGGTTGGTCTTCTCCGACCCTCCTCTACGCGTGGTACGCGCTCATGTTGGGCGGAGGCGGCGTGCCGTACTGCCCGTACATGTACTGCGGCTGGCCATACATCTCGGGCGGCGGAGGACCACCGTACTGCGGGCTCTGCATCCCGTACATCTGCTGCTGCTGTTGCTGAGGTGGACCACGACGCTGCTGCTGGCCCCGCGGGCTCGGGCTGTTCGCGATCTCAGGCGACCGCATGTTCGCAGCAGCATAAGGGTTGTACGGGTCGCTACCAGGCGAGAACGCGCTGGTGGGGCCGGGACCAGGAGCGCGCTGACGAGCCTGTTGCGGGTCGATGGAGAGCGAAGGCGGGCCAGACGCGGCGTTCTGTCCGCCCATTTGGAGCGAGGCCATGAAGCTCGCAAGCGTCTGGTCGGCCTGGGAGTAGCCCTGCGGTAACGAGCCTTGCAACTGACCCTGCGGCCCGAACTTGCCCACGGGCTTGCCACCGGGCGTGGTAGCACCACTGCCCGAGCCACCGTAGCCAGGAGCGAAGTTCGGCACGGGCAAGCCGACCTCCTCGATGAGCCGGCGGTACGCCTGCGTAGCGATGACCTTGAGCTCGACAAGCACACGCTTGGTCGCTTCGATGTATGCAGGGCGGCGCACAGGGTTGAGGAATGCCGAGGTGAGAACCTTGTGGACGACCGTAACGCCGTTGACCTGGTCACCAAGGACATCGGTAAGAACGTGGTCCTGAGGGCTCATGAAGAGCGCGTCGACGATCTGGGCAGACGCAGCGGGCTCGGTCTTCTGGTTGACAATACGAAGCACGGTGAGCGATGCAAGCTTGTGCGTGCACAAGTGGCTGAGGTGCGGCGTGAAGCGAGGGGCGAGGAGAGCATAGCGAGCAGGGAAGCCCGAGGTGTCGAGGAGCCACGTCAAAAGAAGCGCGCCGTTCGGGTTCGTTGCGAGCGGGATCGAGTTGAGGATGATGGCGGCCGCGACACGGCGTTGTTGGCTAGTCGTGATGTTCGGGCTCTCCAAACAAGCGCGCATGCTCCTAGCACCGAAGCGACCCTGAGCGATCTCCCACAGACGGTCAACCATGGCGTCGAAGATGAAGTCGTTCGCGGGCTGGCCGAAGCGCAGGCAGCATTGCACGACGTAGTTGCCGAACTGGTCGAGCAGCAACGGCGGCGCGTAAGGACGGAGGTTCGCTGCGATCAACGCAACCTCGTCGGGCGTCTGCACGCATTCGATGATCTTCTGCGCGGCCCAGGTACCGTTCTTGTGGATGCCAATCATGGCGAGGTGAGGTGCGATGCGCTCGAGCATGGCCACGCGGGCCTGGAGGGTGCAGCGCTCGAACAGCTTCTGGACGACCTGTAGATGCGCTCGTCAGAAGAAGATCACAACATGATGTGTTTAGACATACCGTGTTGCCCAACCAGTCCGAAGCGAGCTCGACAATCTCGCCATCAATGAAGTCAGCAGCGATCGTCTCAATCTCCTCGTCTGTGACAAGCCCTGCATCCATCCTCTTCCTCAGCTCCCTGAGCTTCGCGGCGTCCCACCTCCTCGAATGCGGACGATCCGCAACGAGCGGGATCGTAGTGTAGTACATTGTCGGGGGCCGGAACTCCGCGAGCGCCGCGATGTCCGCCTCAGCCTCATGCTCGGGCGCACCAGCGGACAGCTCCTTCATGATCATCTGCTGCTCGGTGACGCTCGGCGTCCAGCCAGCGGGCTTGGGGGTGCCATCGCTCACGTAAGCGGCATTGTGTGCACCGTTGCCGATCATGCTGAGCAGGAGGTTGGAACGGTAGTTCTCGACGCCTCCGCCGAGGACCTGCTGGTCGACCGGTACAGCCGTCGCACCCTTGACAGAGCGCAGCGCATGGATGGTCGCGCCGACGGACAGGTCACCGACGCCTTGCACATTGAGGCTGGGAGGCGCGTCGGCTCCATCGCGCTCGTCGGATCCACCCTTCACAGGGACCTTCGCGAACCCGATGCGGATAGCGCCGACATCCGAACCAAGCACATCGCGTCCGTTGAGCGCCTTGCGCGCCCGGACGGCATCGTCGAGGCGCTCGAAGTTGATGAAGCCGCAGTTCTTGTGCGTGAGGACACGAGCGCTCTCAATCGGACCATACGGGCTGAACACGCTGAGAATGGTCGCGGGTGTGGTAGTGCTAGGAATGCTGCCGATCCACAGGGCGCGAGTAGGAGTGCTCTGGAGCTGCGCCTCGATACCGCTGAGACCGCCCTGACCGGGAGTGGGCGTAGTCTTGCTCGCGGCGCCGCTGCCATTCTTGCCGGGTGCGGCAGGAGCGGAGTCTGCCTTACCGAAGCCGATGCGAACGGTCTGACCGTTGGGCATGCCGATGTTGCCGCCCAGACGGTTCAGCACGTCCTCCTTAGCGCGAATAGCATCGGCCTGATCCACGAAGTTGACGAAGCCGCATTCCTATATCCCACATTAGGGTTTGCCTTTATCTCTCATTGATGGAGATCACATACCTTTTCGGGAAGGAGGCGCAAGCTCTCGATGGCGCCGTAGGGGGCGAACACATGAATAAGCTGCTCGGACGTCACCGACGAATCGAGATTGCCGATCCAAAGCGAGCGAGTGGGCGTCTGGATCTGCGCCCCCTGTCCGGCGCTCGCCTCAGCCTTGGGCGAGATACGGCCGCCAGAGAGCGGGCCTTGGTTCGGAGCCGCGAGGTGGTACTGCGGGCCGGCAAGTCCCGTGGGCGTCTGAGGACCGTTGGGCGGGAAGCGGACTTGCTGCTGTTGCTGGCGCTGCTGCTGCTGGTGCATCTGCGTATCAAGGCCTATGTTGGCATTAACGTTCAGACGTGGCTGGGGCGCGAGCTGCGGGGGAGGAGGCGCCTGCTGAGGCGCGCCGCCGTAGACCTGGGCGAGCTCGTACACGGGCTGCTCTACCGAGGAGACGGTCGCGCGGCGCGAGAGGCGGACGGGTTCGTCAAGGGTGCCGACCGAGATAGCACGCGGGCGCGACGCGGCAGCGAGCGAAGCACCGAGGTGCTCCGAAGACTTGTAAGGGCCGCTGGCGCCGGACATGCCATATCCGAAGTAATCGGCACCGCGTTGAGGTTGCTGCTGCTGAGGCGTTCCAGCATATCCGTCATCGCCGTAGTTATCGTAAAGCTCTTCGTCCTCCTCCGCCTGCGGGGTGCGCAAGACGGGACGAGCGCGATATGGGTTGGGGTGAGAGACGGTCGTGGCCCGCATGCGGGACGGGTTCGCGCCGAGATTACTGGCGATGGCCGCCTGGGCCTGAGTACGAAGCTCGGAGAGTGTAGCAGCCGGGGGCGGGGGACGCGAGACTGTGCGATGCATGCCGGTGTGACGGTCATCGAGACCGAGATAATCAAGCGTATGGACATCAAAGTCCTCGTTCGCATCCTCGAGCATAGGAGGGTAGCCAGACTGACCGGCCTGCGAGGGCGCCCAGTTGGAGCTGAAAAGGCTAGGGCCGAACGCAGTCGACAGTCCGCCATTAGAAGAAGGCATGGTGAGACTGCCAGATCTAAGCCGAGAGTTACGCTCGGTCAAAGCCGAAGATGCCACAGAGCTGGCCACAGAAGTCGAATGACGGAGACTGGGCCGCATCGGCGCTTGAGCGGCCTCGCGCAACTGAAGCTGGTCGGCGAACGACTCTGTGCTGGGCATCTGGGAGGTGGGCGTGCTGGCCGCGGCGTACTGCTGGGCTGCGAGCTGGACGTTGGACGGGAGCGTGCCGGCACGCGCACGACGGAAGCCGGCGGGGTAGTTTGCCGGCGGCAGCTGCGAGCCGATGTGAGCGTCGGTCGGCGTCGCGCTCGTCGGACCATCGCGGTCGTTCGGTTGGGCGAGCGCACGGAGCGCGGGAGGGCGATACCGCGCCATCAGAGGCTCGTCCTGCATCTCACGCGCGCTGCAGGATCAACAATCAATATAAACGTCCTTCCGATTCCATAGAGAAGTATTCGACTGACCGCTTCGCAAACGCGGCCGACGGCGCTGGCGGGGGCGTCTTGCCCGAGCCCCCGCGCGGATTGCCGTAGGAGGAAGAGTCGGCAGAGAGAGAAGACATTTTAGGCGAATTACTTTCGGTACGGATTAACTATTACTGAAGGTTGGGTCGGGGTTTTGGGGTCGTCTCCGAAGGGAACGCTTAAGCCAGCACCGATTTCTTCAAAAGCCGCGCTGGCAAAGGCGGGCGATTTGTCGATTGCGGGCCGATTTGTGGGATAAGAGTAAATGTGCTGGCGTCCGTGGCCGTCGCGCCTTGGGGGGTCGGAGTATACGAGCGTAGAATAGGAACGTACAGATGGTAGTAAGAGACCAAGAGAGACCCGGCCGCCCCTCTCGCCCGAGGGACCAGACTCAAGTATCCAGCGATGCAGTTCGCACGCCTCGAGAACATCAGACCGTCCACCAGCCTCTCTCTCTTCCACACCGATCTTCTTAAATTTTACACCGAGACCACGGCATACATGAGTGTCCGGTCTCTGCGTGCCCTGTACGATATGCCCTGCACGTTGTCGTGCATCTGAGCCGCTGAGCTGCATGCGAGGCCAGCGCATGCCACTGACGATACGCTAAAGGTCCACTGAAGCCCCTATCATGAACCTCTCCAAGGCCCTGCGCGCTCTGCCCAACCTTCTCTCACCCCGCTTCTTCGTCGCTCTCCCTGATATAATCCTGACGTCCTCCGAATACACCCCGAACAGCCTTTACATCCCCAGTCACCCTCTGCATTCCCCCAGTACATTAGCGCACCCGCTCCTTCTTGTCCTCGTCCCCCGGTGTCTCAGAATCACTACGCCCCGACTGTCACGCCGGGCCTTCCTTCATCCCAACTTTCCATCCATCATTTCGTGAACCGTGGCTCAGATGGATACCGTGAGACTGTACGTTTTGCCGGCACCATGCTCGAAGGCTTCTCGCTCCGTCTCCTCTCCGAACGAACGCTCAGATCGGGCCAGTGCGTTCACATTGGCCATAAGGAACTCGGGGAGCTACAGTCGCAACCGCCGACGATTGAGCCTACCTAGTTTGGCCTTCCCAACAGTACATATACTCTGATCTTCAGCATCTCGCAACATGACTCTCGAGCCCATATGTTCGCAGCATGCTTCCCGAATTCTAATAACGGCACCAGGCAGCGCGCGCGCTCGCCGCCCAACAGACTCATGATGCAAATCCCGCCCTGGCCTACACCCGTCATAGGGTTTGACGCCTTCTGTATAGACTCAAAGCTACACGCCAGCAGTTGTCACCTGTGGCGCCGAGAATTGTCCCTGAACGGCCAGCTGCGGTTCGAAGGTGTCCCGCGCCGCCGTCAGCAGGTCCCTTCGTGGCGTTCACCGCTATAGGCGCTCTCACTTGCCGGCGGAACGTACTGCTACTCGCACCTTCATTCGGTCTTATCGATAGCCTTGGTAGCTTCATACAGGCACCAAGTGCTTCTCATCTTCTTCGAGTCCCACATGCAAATCAATCCTACGTCTGAGCATGTCTAAGCGCATCAAATTCCATTCGATCCAAGAAAGCAAACTATAAGCCATAGCATATAACCTTATAATGTAGTCGTACCTATACACAACACACAACTCTTCATCATAGTGGTCAAAATCAAAAGAAGCCATACTGTATATCAGTCAGTCAAAGAACCCGAATCAGTCGTCAAGTGGCCGAAGGCGGGTGGGTGGGAGGAGGGGAAGAGGCGAACGTAAGTATTGCTACAGCTACAAAGCATTGATCTCGAATGTCGAGTGAAAAGGGAACCGCATATCCGTCCAAGATCTCAAGAAAGCACGTCCGCGTCCGATATCCAAAAGCACACAGCATCATCATCACCGGCCACACCGGAGCGGGCGTCGCGTTTCGAGAGCGCTCAGACCGAAGTCATCGCGCAGACCCGCGCGCAATTCAACCGCGCCTCTTCGCAGTCCTCCCCTTCCTCGCCTTGGCCTTGGCTTTCTTCTCCGCCTCCTGCTTAGCAGCCTCAACCCTCCTGCTCCTCCTCAACGCCAACGGCCTCTCAACCTCGCCCACATCTGCCGTCTCCTCCTCATGCTCATTCTCATCGAGCTCGCCAACGACAGCATCGTCGACTTCATGCGTCGTACGAGGCGAGGGCGGAGGTGGGGCTGATGATGATGGTGCAGGCGCGTCGAAAAAGTCGGGTACAGCGCACAACTGATCGAACACGGCTTCTTCGGCTGGAGAGAGTGGGTCGGTGTCTTCGGGGCTGACGGAGGGAGGAGGAAGAGGCGGAACGAGTTTGAGCAGCTCTGCGCTCCGCGCAACTTCATCGTCGACGGCATGGTCACCCATATCAACGTCCATGTCGTGCGCAAGGGGAGGAATAGGCGAAGCAGCGCGCCTTTTGGCCGGAACGCTCGCTCTCGCACTGCTGGGCTCGCCGACGGAGGGGAAATGCGTATTGCCAAAGCCGAAGTTGAACGGTGTGGAGCCATCAGCAGGCGATGAGCTCCATACGGCGGGCAATGCAGCATGCGCGGTGGGCGGCGGCGTACGCGGACCGGGCTCGTCCTGCGACACATCGCTGATCGCACTGGGCGACGGCGCGGACGCGGGCACACCGAGCTCAGCAGGCGGCCGAAGGGGCGTATGTGGAGGGCCAAATGTAGCGGTAGTCGGCGTGGGCGGGAACACGTTCGTCGGATGCACAGGCATAATAGGCTGACGCGCGGCAAACGCCGACCGACGAGCGCCCATCCCGGCACCGGCCCACGTGGAGGGACCTGTAGCAGCTGCAGTAGGCGTCCAATCTCCCTCCTCGAGCTCTTTAGCAGTAATAGTCTCGAGCCCGAGGATCTCCGCGTCCTGCCACAGAAGCTCGCTCATCCTGCGAGGCTTCGCAAGCGGCGCAGGAGCGGACGAAGACGCGATCGCGAAAGATTCGGAAAAGCGGCGCCCGGAATCTGCGGGGTTTTGAGGGACCCAGGAGGACGTGCTGGCGGAGCCCCAACGCATATTGCCGAGCTCCTCAACAGGACTGAACACGACGCTCTCCTCCCACTCCTCCTGCTGCTCTGCCTCCTCTTCCTCGGCAGCTGCCGAAGTAGATGCGGCGGCCGGTGCCGGGGCGCCAAAATCGGCAAAGTCCCATGTATCGATCTCCTCGCGCTTGATGTAGACCTCCTCGGTCTTCGGAATGAATGCGGCGGCGGCGGCTTCCTGTTCAGTCGCCTTGGCCGCTGCAGCGGCGACGGCCTGGATGACGGCTGCAGAAGACTCCGCGAGGTCACGCGTATCCCATGCGGCGAGCATGCTGCTGATGGCGTCCTCGTCGACTTCTTCTTTGACGATGGTCAGATCGATAGTTTCCCTGGGCTGCGCCTGCTCGTCCTCGTCGGCGGACCAGTTGAACATATCGTCGTCGTCGTCCACATGAGCGAGATCGACGTCTGAATCAGGTGGTGGGGAGGCGACGGAGGGCGATCGAGAATGGCGGAGTGCGAATGAAGACGGGGAAGGCATGCGAAAGAAGGCAGAGTCTGGATGGTTGGCGTAAAGTCCAGAATCAGAAGAAGCCTCGGAGCCGCTATCGCTTTCGCTGTCGCCGTCTACGGACATGTCGCCCTCAGACTCGTCGCCATCGTCAGACTCATCGCTACTGGACACAATGTAGTCCTCGTCGGGCGACTCGGAAGTCTCCCTAGATACAGGCGGCGTGGGCACAGTTACGGGCGTAGGCGCCGGCGAAGCAGAAATAGAAGGTGTGACTGATGGTGAGTTGGATGACGAAGAAGCGTGCACGAGACTTGGGCGGAGGCGAAGCGTGAGTTTGACCTTCGGTGGGCGCGGATCAGGGTCCTGCTCCTCCTCAGTCTCTGCCCCAGCCTCTGCACCATCAGCTTTACAGCCACGGGACAGCCGCTTGCGCTTTTGACCGCAGAGCTGTGCGCTCGTTTGAGCGCGGCGTCTGCGATCGCGTTCCCGTTTACGATCGCGAGGTCCGCTGGCGGTGATACCGACTTTTCCATCCTCGGTGTACTCAGATAGACGGATGCCGGCACGCGCGAATGGGCATGGGGCGCCAGCAGCTTTGGACAAGAACCACACCAAAGTGCCACGACGAAAGTTGGTAGTACGCGTGTCACCAGGAGTTAGCGCGCAATGGGCTCCGCCCGAACGAGAGTGGAGTGCAGGGACCAGATCATCGTCCGAAGGTGTGCCAGATAGAACGTGTCGAGAAAGCAGCGGGTGATCCTGTTCCGCTTCACATCGCTGCATATGGTTGCGAATGTAGGTCGTGATTGCCTGACCGGCGGCAGAGACGCTGAAAGGGAACATGTCAGCATCGAGAACAAGAACCACAACACTCGCGTGGGCCGGGCCGATCAGCCGGTAGACGCGCTGCAATTCGGCTGGGGGCGTGCGCGCATACACGCTGCAAGCGCAATCAGACAAAAAGGATAGACACGCACTTTTGGCACATTAGGCCGTACTTCAATGTCATCTCTGCCAGATCTTTGATTGTCATGGCCCGATTGTCCTGCACCGCCCTGGTCAGCGGATCTGAGATGCAATTCATATAGATTCAGCTACGCACCACTGAAAGGAAAGAGCGGCCGATAGCTATGAAGACCTTGCTGGACGAGTCTTCAGGATGCAAGGTGACGTGGGGAGGTGGAAAGTCGGGCGTTCCTGCCGGCAACGGTGGCGCCTTGTCGGTGGCGGCGGGAGTGGCCACAGTGGCCTTCTGCAGTAGTGGTGCATTTGGCCGTATTTTGCGGGGTTGGAGCGGTGTTTCTGGAGATTGGCGAAGTCGGGCGGGCGGTTTGATGGACGAGTTACTGCGAATGCGGGTAGAGTACGAGTGGGAAGTGTTAGGTGTGGTTTGGCCCGAGATTAGGGCTACGTTCTCCTGGGCGAGCATGCAGATGTAAACATTAACCGAGTGTTGTACGTGTATATTCGTCCAGCGAGCAGAATATAATTGGTGGGCAGGAGGGGGTGATGGGGGGAAGAGGCAAGGTAGGAGAAGCGCCGCGCGCGAACCAGAAATCAAAGTCGACTGGCAACACGCGCTAATTCCCCCCGCGATCAATTCACCCTAATTCGCGTCATCCACGATAACGTCGTTCCTATTCCGCGCCGGCCTGTCGGTTCCGTTTTCTCCTCTTCCACGAGGGGAGCCACACCCAAGAACGGCCCCGTCCCTTTGTTCCTCGCCCGGCTTCGCAGCAACCCTCGACACGGGGATATCGCGAGGCCTGTGAGCGCATAGAGTTCTGAGTGAATGGGCCATGCCAATAGGCGTGCATTCGACAGAGCCAGAAACCACCTGCGGGAAAGGTTTCGAAGCACTCTTCGAGTCTTCGATGGCGATGGCCGACACGACTCGAGCTGAGAGCACAACTTTTTGCGGCGCAGCGTGCAGATCGCGACCCGCCCCCGCAACATGCCGTCCGCGCGTCTCTTTTCCCCTTTCAGTGCCCAGATCTCCGCTTTTACGACATACAACACGCAGTGAACTCCTTTGTCCCTGCTGTTCTATCCCGGCTCTGCCGCAGGACAATGAGCTGAGGGTGGGCAGCGGCTGGCAGCGGGGCGGCTAGGGTCTAAAAGCGCTCGCGGGGCCAGAAGCGGGCGAGATCTCGATTGGAGTAAGCGGTATCACGGGCCTGATGGCCATTGATTCCGCTGAACCTATCAACAAACGTAAGCGCCTTCCATTCCCAGGGATCCTCCCCTTCATGTTCAACTTCTTCCTTCTCTCCCTCTCCTTCTTTTCGCGCCCCGTCCTGCCTGCCTGTATCCTCGCCACCAAGATTATGCAAATCTATCTTCCTGCAACCTTCGAATGCGTGCCGTGGTCTGGATGGCGATCTGACAGGTGTCTCTGATGTCTCATATCGCCCGCTGGGGCCTTTCGCTGCGCAGGTGGCGTCTCCCGCTGCCCTGCGAACAGCCGACCACAGGAAGCGCCCAGATCAACCTCCGCCGGCACCACCCGTTCTTGCATTTCCCCCGGCAAACTCCCTCTCGACCTGGCCGTGCCATCTTTCCCCCCGGCATGCCCTCTCGTCCCCGAATCGGTTATCCTCCCCTGCGCCGAGCGAGACACCTTCCGAGACAGCACAGCATTCGACAACACCATATTTGGACGAGTTCTTCCGCGCACGATGCTTCCGACGGCACGGGCCCGCTGTGGCACGCAACTGGGTTCCTCGCGCACCCTGCTTTCTATTCCCAGCCACTCACTCGCTCGGCACCGTGGGCGCCATGCTACTTTTGGCGCACTTCCGATGGGTCGAACGATATCGACACGTCACCCTGAGCAAGCGGGTTGGTCAACCATATCTGCGCAACCAGCGCCGCGGAGTCCTCCTTCTCAGCCGTCGCGACGGATGAGTTGCGAGGAAGTTGTGATGGAGCAATGGTTGAGAAGTCGATGAGAAGTTGATGACACCGCGATCGTACATGTTTAGGACGTGGGGGAAAGACGACCTGGGAGGTCTTGGATTTGTCAATGAAACGCTTATGCACTACTACTCTGTCGCATGCCCCAACATTATGTGTGTTCACGCACTTCGGTGACCCAAAGTCCTCCGCCCCACTGAGTCTATTTTGCTCGGCGGGGATCCGCACGCAATCGTTAGGATGTAGGGACGAAAGTTGAGAGCGCTTTCATCACACGTCTGCAAATGCTGTAGATTGGATTCGATGTATTGGCGTGCAGTTGTATGGAGACTACGCTGAAGTCGCGAGAAATAAGCTAGTAGATAATAGAAACGGGCGTGTTAGGCCGGTCTAGAAGAGTACGCATTGTGTAAAGATCGTGATATACCAGACCTGCTGGACGGGTGGGCCATGAAGGAGAGTGCAAAGACCAGTCGAAAGTCGTAAGATGGACCATGACGATGACAGGAAGAACTTCAGTGGCGAGCGCTCGCCCGTGAGGAACTCCGTCCATTGAAGCCGCGCTTCGTGGGAGATGCCAGCGGATGCACGTCGTGCGACGGGATGTTTGAAGGGCGATCCTCCTGTGGAAAGCATCAGTCTACTTGGAGGAATGATGAATGCAGAAGGAACATACGGCGAGGGTGGACAGCGCGCCAAACGGCCTACTGAAGACAGTCTTCCTTGACCGCTGTAGCGATGTCGTGTCAGCTCACTGAAGGCGTTGCCTAGGATGCTAGGACCTACCAACGACGGGAGGCCGATGCGTGTTCGTTGACTGGTGGCCTTTCCAGCCAGTGCGACCTCCGGAGGCGTGAGATGCTTGGTGACGAAACCCTGAAGCGAACGATCAGCTTGTCGTCGGATTCAACGATAGTCATGTGTGAGATACGAACCCGGAATGACCGGATGGCATTCTGCTTGTCAGTCTTCTTCATCTGCCGCCATTGTTCTCCCCGAGCTTGGGATATGACGTTCAGGCGATTGAGCTGCTTCTCCGAGAAGCCGTAGACCTGCCCTTTCTCTCCCGGCGTCCCATTCCGTTCCACCCAGCGGTCCAGCACGAAGCCCTTGATATCTTCCGGGGGCTCTGCCGGCAGACGACCGCGGTGCTCGACAGGTAAGACACACACGTACTGTCTCTTTGCAGGGCACCAGCGCGGAGTAGAATGGACGTGTTGCTCAGAGGAGTTCAACACCAGATCGTCGGAAGAGGGATCGACCTGTACGCAGAACATATCGATGCATAGCGATAAGTCTTCGAACTGGCCACCATTGAAAGTCCCCATGAGATAAGCTCGCATGTTCTTCCCGCTCCCTTTAGTGATGATACAAGGACGGGGAGCCTCTTTGCAGCCGTGAAGTTTAATCCATGTCCCGACAGTCGTGGCACGCGATTTGCCAGACCGAGTTTCGTTGTAGACCAACTCGCGATCGTACTTCTTCAAGTACTCCGCGATGGGCAGCATCAGAGACTCGCGAATAGACCACACTTGTCCTCTGGAGAGAGTGTCGGGATCTGGGTTGTCAGTGAAAGCAATGTAGCCGTGTTCGTCGTATCCTAGGCGGGCTAAGCCGGAGCAGTAGTGACAAGGGATGTGTTCTTCATGACCAGCCTCAGAGCCGCGTTTGAGAAGCATGATGGTCGTAGAACTAGAAAGTGAAAGAGGCTGTGAAGAACGATCGTGCAGGAGCAGGCGTCAGACCAGCTGAAAGCTGAGAAGGGGGGAAGTTGAATGGGCGAGCCGAGTCCGGTCAAAGTATTTGTATCTCAAATATCTCAGCGACGTGTGTACAATGAGTGCCATTCCGAGGCTTACAATAGGAGTCTTTGACCCAGAACAAGGGATGCCTTGGACCAGTCTAGCGTATTGAGTGCGTCGATGACACGCTACGTGCTGCTCATCAAGTTCAGGTTCGTGCGTCGATAGTCCTTGCTGGAAAGGGTCGGTCTGCAGGAGATACCCAATACAGTGCACGAGATGGCCGCGAGAGCGCGGGTTACGGAGTATTGCGAGCTTCATACGGACAATCTTCAGAACATCAAGCTCGTAGTGGGCGTTACTCGCTAGTCAATTGTTGATGTCAGCGGAAGGCCCGTTCCGGCGCTGATCGAGCTTCACAAGCTTCGCACGTTGAACAAGAACGGCCACCATCATGAATATGGTGGCCTTGTTCTGGCTTATTGTACTTGAACCGGACTAGTCGGCGTGCCTTGCTCAAGTAGGAGCTTCGTTGCTCTCTCACACAACCTCTTCTGTATACTCCCAACCCGCTTCACTGTCTGAGCCCCGCCCTTCGCCACCGCCATGACTGTCGAGCCAGCTGCTGCCGACGAGTTAAAGCCAGTTTACAGATATCTACCCAGCGCCGATAAGTTGATAATTAAACGACATGTCCCTACTGCTGTCATGCCCTTGGTTGGCGACTTCGTCGTCTTCTCCATCGATCCAGTCGCCTCCGTCGCACATCTGGACAAGGTTGCCAGGCAAGCTGCCAAGAAGATTAGGACACATCGTCATGTTGGACTGGTCATGATGGTGCGTCTCTCGACTATCTGTCCATCTCACGTCTCTGAAATATTCTCACAGATGCAGGGCCTACCGATGGACGATGACCCGGTCAACGCATTCACGTTTGCCTTTCTCAGGAAGGGTTTACCTCCAACGGCACCACCAGGCAGCTTCGCAGACCTTTGCATCCCCGCTCTCCCAAACACCTTCCACCCGACAGTAACTGAGCCGCTACGCCCCATACACCCTTTACCGTGGGATGATTGTTATATCAGTGCGACCGACGACTTGGGCTTCCGTAACTTGCGCGTAAAGACAACCTCTCGGGACTATACGCCTATCCTTCCGCTTGAGCCTGAAGAAGTATGGCGTCTTACATGTTTCATCGACGACAGTGAGGCTGTCACGGAGGAGAGGATGCGACGGATCCGAAGGGGTTCACTCAATGTTATCGCCGACATCCCTCTTCCCGAGTCTCCTACTTCAGCCAAACCTCTATCATTACCTGACCCTCCAATCATGGACCGCGCCGAGCCGCCGACAGATGGACTCTCTGTTCACTCACTTTCGTCATCCTACGTGCAACGACTCAATGGTCTATCTACTCACGACGACGATGCCTCCATGATCGGTAGCATTGACACTGCGTCGAGCTCTCCAGGGGGCCTCCCATCGCCTTGCTCGGATGATATTGACGTGGGGTTCATCCAACAGTTCGAACATTTTCTGAACAACGGCGGAAGCGTAGATGACCCAGTGGTTGACATCTGGTATGACCTCGACATGGTGAAGGAAGTGGTTGATATCTCGTTGTTCCTAAAGGAGATCGCCCAGATCAGACAGTGAGTGAATAACATTCAGCCTACAGTATTTGGGTTAACGAGACTTCCCAGGGTTATAGAGGATGCTGAAGAGCGGTTGGGTATCCGCGCTGCCAGGGATGCGGCAGCTGCTGAACTGAAGGAACTACGTGCTCGTCAGGCAGAGGAAGCTAGGGAGCACACTGAAAAGAGTGTAAGACGTAGCAGTGGTCTATTGAGCAAGTTCTCGGGTTAGTCTTCCTCGCTCAAACACGGGCATTATATGTGGATGCTGACACCTGCCTCAATAGGCCTTCTGCACTCGACTCTCCACGTTTTCGTCTGCCAGTCCGCCATTCACGACGACTAGCTATTTTCCAGTAGTACTTCCTGATCTACTGTACCGTGTCGTGCATCGGGTTGTATATTGTAAATGCGCTCTGTTGATCTAGTACGAGGTTTCCGGGCAACTCACATGACCGCGTTGTATAAGCCCGAAGCTGCCCGACGCGACCTGACGCGACCCGCGCGGACAGCTCGCTTTGTACGACCACCGCCACGACCCTACTGGCATAATAAAACAATTACGAGATATGCGTGTCATCACAGTGAGGTTGTACATACCGCACGCCGGTCCTCACAAGGGTGTCATCATCAAGGCGGCACTGGAGTGCGTATGCAGTACGCCCGCCAGATAGGTCAGTTATTTGTCCAAAGCGATCATGAGTTGTCCTTCTGCGAGCCCTTTTGTTCTACTTCAGGGGTCTGTACTGCCGCGGTCCATGCCGCTGCGTCTGCCTTTCTACAAATGGCGACCTTCGAGACGAATCACGGCAACCCACCATGGACGACTCAGATCGCATCCTATACTACCTCAAAGACGTACCGTCGTTCAAGCATCTCCCCGACCCACACGCCTATCATCGATTCAAAGATATCAACACACTCCCTGCTATTGGCGACTTCGTCGTCTGCTCGATCGATCCTGTGGCTTCGGTGGCGCATCTCGACGAAGCGGCCCGTCAAGCAGTGCGCCGGATGTGTCCACGACGATACATCGCGTTTGTCATGGAGGTGCGCGACTTGTCTACGACTCTTTACTTTTGACTGATGAGATGTAGTCTCATGGACTCTCTATCGGTCATGAACCGGTCAACGCTTACGGCTTCACCTTCGTGCGTCAGGGCCCACCGCGCGCGACGCAACCAGGTCAAATCGTCTTCCGCGACTATTGCATCCCCGTACTTTCAAATACCACTCATCCCACGGGTCGCAAGCCTCTTCGTCCTGCCCTTCCTCTTCCTTGGCCCGACTGCTATCTCGATACCCATAATGATTTCAACTTTACTCAAGTTCGCGTCTCGTCCACTCCTCGTGACTACACCTGCGTCCTCCCGTGTGCCAGGGAAGAAATACTGGATGCAAAGGAGATGATGGCCAACGACTGTGTGATATTCGACCGCAGAACAGACGATATGCAGGAGGGAGTACTCGAAGCCATCGACGCCGTTGCACTACCGCCGTCGCCCACTTCCGCCTTCAAAATTCCCCTGCCACCTTCGCCGATGATTTTGAAGGCGAAACTTCCCGAAGCCGTAGCTCATACACATACGGGCCTGGGTGTCACTCCTGCGGAACTTGACATGACTGAAGACGACGTCTCGATCATCGCCAGCGACGATGCGACGTCCGTGATCCAAGACAGCCAATCTACGCCCGTCTCGGATGTTGATATAGGGCTATTGATGCACCTCGAGACCCTATTCGACACGTCCGGATATGTCAACGATCCCGTCGTCGATATATGGTACGATCTTGACATGGTGCCCGAGGTGATAGACCCCGTCTACTTCTTTGAAGAGCGGGCTCAAGTCAGGCGGTAAGCGTGGAAGTCCTCAGTGTATGCGTCGGCCATCTGACGACGAAGTAGGATCATCTCAAATGCAGAGGCTCGATTGGGCATTACACAGGCTCGTGAAGAGGCGGCCGCCAAAAGCGAAGGCTTCAATCCTTTCCGTCCTAGCGAAGTACCAAATGCTACTGTCGAGGCGGAGGGAATGGATATCCCATCCGTGGAGTTTCTAGATGCAAGGTCGCGCCCCAACAGCAAGTCAAATCGTACGTGCTTGCATATCCATGGTACGCACATGGCGGTATCTGATCCTCGTTATAGCCTTCGCACGTTCAACCGGCATCTTGAGGCCGCTAAGCTTCATACGGAGGGGCTTTGATTTCGTGTGTGCTTTGGCTTGTAACACTGCCAGAGCGCACGATACGCTGGATTGATAGTGATGTCAATCTTTACTCGATAGTATGTTCATTATTTGGTTGTGATCAATCGCACATAGTACGTGGCGGCGTGAAGTGGAGGACGATGTGGGAATACAAGAAGCGTACTTAATGAGGCGGATCCGAAGTGGTATGATGAACGACGACAAGCTCGGTTATAAGTTAGGCGTAGTCAGTACGTCTAGCGACGAGCACTAGCGCGAGAAGAGTCTCGTGCAAAGCTGGACCTGGTGGGCGAAGCAATCGAACCGGCGTCTTTCGAGGCCGTGGTTGCCGGACGAGCCTCCTGTGCGGGATGTTAGATCTCTTACAAGGATTGCGTAGGTATGAGAGACGTACAGTCCGAGTGAGAGCAGACAATCCGCCAAACAGCTTCCTGGAACCAGTCTTCTTCGTGCGCTGAAGTAGAGTGAGTACAGCGGTGCCGGAAGCTGAAGCGGTACATCTCACGAATGAGGGGGCACCAGAGCGCGACCTCTGGCTAGCTCCGTCTGGGCCAGGCTCGGTAAGAATGTGTTTGGTGGCGAATTTCTGCAGAAATACGCAAGTCAGTCGTCGCTGGATATCCACCCGAAACTTGGGAACCCACCCGGAATTCGCGGATGGCATTTTGCCTGGATGTCTTGTCCATGTTCTGCCATTGCAAGAGTCGCGCTTGCGATATGAAGTTGAGACGGTTCAGTTGCCTTTCAGAAAACCCATAATGCTGCCCGTTTTCCTCAGGCGTCCCGTGTCGTTCCACCCAGCGCTCTATCACGTAGCCCTGGGGTTTCTCAGGCTTCTCCGAGATATGACCCTTGAACTCGATAGGCAGAACACAGACGTATTGCTTCTTTGTAGGGCACCAGCGCGGAGTAGAATGAATGTGTTGCTCGGAGGGGTTTAGGCTACAATCGTGGGGCGAGGGATCGACCTGGATGCAGAACATGTCGGCGCACAATGACAGATCCTCAAACTGGCCGTCGCTGAGGGTGCCCATGAGGTGGATCTTCTTTTCCCTCTTAGTGGCCTTGAGTATGATACAAGGTCGAGGCCTCTCTCTGCTCCCATGGAGCCTGATCCATGTCAAGAGGGTTGTGGAGCGCGACTTGCCAGAACGAGTCTCGGATTTGACCAGCTCAAGGTCTGCGGTCTTTAGGAACTCGGCTATAGGAAGCATCAGAGATTCGCGAATTGACCAGACTTGGCCTCTGGATGGCATTTGAGACTCCAAGTTGTCCGTGAAGGCGATATAGCCGGGCGCATCGAAGTCCGGACGAGCTCGGTTGTTGCAATAATGACACGGAACGCGCTCTTCACGTCCAACCTCAGGTCCGCGTGGAAGGAGCATGATTCGGATAGGAGTCAAGAAATGAGAGAGAAGACGATTGTACGGCGGAGAAAGGCGTTGGCTGAGAAGACTCGAAAAAGGATTGAGTTGGGGTGGAGGTTAAGGATTGGGATTAGGGTATTTGTACGCGACTCCAAGAAGCACAATAAGCCGAAATCATAAAGCACGATGGTTGGCCTAGACCGGGATAGGGTAGGTGGTTGTGGCATTGGGCACGCTCGTCCCATGCTTTAGTAGCATTTATTGTGCGGTATGGTGTTCATTGCTTGCAAGAAGAGTGTTCGTACAGGCTCTCCAGACAGTAGAGTGATCAGAATGCAGTTCCTAGCTGAGGGCGAGATAGAGGTAGAAGCTAAAAGCGCTTCGACGATGGTGGTCGCTCGATAGGCAATCTTTCGATGACGGGTTCTCCCGAAAGCTTCACTGTACCAGTGCCGCGCTTGCCAAAGTTCGCACGTCAAACGTGGATTCGGACAACCACCACCAACACAAAGGGACAACCATGATGCCTCGTTTGGTTTCTGACCATTGTCCTCGACCAAGGCTACTTATACGTGTCTTGTCTGAGCCGGATATTGGTGTTTCTTCATCCCAGCACTCACCGCACGATCTCCTCTTTCACTACCACCATGCCTGACGCTCCCGCGGTCGACGATGCAAAGCCCGTCTTCAGATACCTGCCAAGTCCTGAGGAGCAGCTCCTACCGCGCACTCACACTACTGCTTGGATGCCCCTTCTCGGCGACTTTGTCGTCTTCTCCATCGATCCAGTCGCGTCCGTCGCCCATCTTGACAAGGTGGCTCGACACGCCGCCAAGAAGATTCAAACACATCGTCACGTCGGGCTCGTGATTATGGTGCGTCATTGTGCTATCTGCTGCTGAATGACGCTTACCTATATCTTCTCAGGTGGAAGGCATACCGATGGACGACGTTCCGGTCAACGCGTTCAACTTCGCCTTCCTCAGGAAGGGTTTACCACGGATGGCTCCCCCGCACAGCTATCCGGATCTATGCATTCCTGTCCTGCCCAATACCTCTCATCCCTCTAGTTATGAAGCACTTCGGCCTATGCACCCTCTTCCGTGGGACGACTGTTATATCAGTGCCACGGACGAGTTGGGTTTCCGCACTTTGCGCGTGAAGACCACCGTCCGAGACTACACACCCATCCTTCCGCTGTTTCCCGAGGAGTTGTGGCGCGTGAATACCATCGTCGATGATTGTGACGGACTTACGGAACAGAGGGAGCGGCGGATTCAAAAGGGCGAGCTTGAAGCCATAGCCACGATCCCTCTACCGGAATCACCAACATCATCCAAGCACGTACCCCTCCCCGTTCTTCCGAATGAAGGTATTAATAGCCTTCATGAACTGGGAGAGGGTTCCTCGGTGTACTCGAGCGCATCGTCACAGGAGCAGCAATTAACCACTCTGAACCCAGACGATGTCTCCATGATCGGCAGCGTTGATTCCAGCTCATCCGGAGATCTCCCGAGGCACGCTCTGAAAGACGTCGACATCGGATTCATGCAACACTTTGAGAGCCTGCTCAATAGTGGAGGGAGTGTAGACGACCCCGTCGTCGATATCTGGTACGACCTGGACATGGTGAAGGAGGTTACCGATATGTCACTGTTCCTTGACGAATGCGATCAGATCAGGCGGTACGTGACATCCAAATATCTCACACCAGATCTATGGTACTAACTATCTACAGAATCATAGATGACGCCGAAGAACGACTAGGGATTCGTGCCGCCAAAGAAGCCGCTGCTGCCCAACGCGAGACATTACTGGCAGAGCGCGCCAAATGGCTCTCCGAACGCGACGCCCGGGACAGACGCAACTGGTCTGACCGATTGTCGGGTGAGTGATTCAAGTTGGACTGAGCGTAGACCGCTACTGACAAGCTTTGCAAAGGGATCTTACAATCAAGCCTGCGCTTGGTGATCTGCCAGTCGGCTGTGCACGACGACTGATATGTCTTTACGTACTGTTCCGCCTGTCTACTGTACCAAATACCCTCATGGATGTACATGTCTCGTTTTTTGCACAATCTCTCTACTTGATGACTCGTACGGTCGGGATTCCGAGCTGGCGTTCTGCGACTGTTCTGCGCCACCCTCAGTCTCAGAGCCTTTCCTCTTGTTAGCCCATGCAACTGACTCAACAGCACACATCGACTTGTCATGTGCGACGACAAACCGCTAAGACGAGAGAGGGCTAATTCACAGCAACGCTAGGGAGTCGAGATGTACGGCACCAACTTCTTCGACAATTAGAGAGGATTATGTTGCGTGAACTACATGTAAGAAGTAGGATACAAGTTTCGTGTTCGACTGCAATTATTGTGAGACAGTCAAATGGAGGGCATACAAGCCGACTAGATACAAGTGGAAGAGGAAAGGAGCGAATCAGGCCTCATCGAAGATAGCTTCGAGGCAATAAGGAGTAAGGACAGCGATGGCAATCACGATGAAAATAGCGATGAAAGGGGCGGGCAGCGGGCAGCGAGCAGCCGACGAGCAGCTGAAGATCCGCGCAGTCAAGGCCTTACGAGCGACCCGACTCGCGGTGTAGACTACGGCGTTTCTCCTTCCGCGACATGGGCTTCACAGGGGATGCGGGTGGTGTAGCGATAATCCTCAGCGTGGGCGGCGGGACATTGATGGACAGTGACTTCTGCGAGACGGTATCGGGTGCGCGACGCTTGCTCTTCCCTAGTCCGAAAGGAAGCTTGAAGGACTTAGCCTTTGGAGGTTTCTGCACATGCAGGGCAGAGACGGCAGACAAGGAAGGATCTGTGGTGTCCGCGCTCACGATACGGGCGTCGTCGAGTACAGCTGGAGCTTGCGGTGGTGTGCGTGGTGGCGACGATGACTCTGCGGTTGTAGAAGAGGCCCGACTGAGACGCCGCGAAGCACTAGAACCGATAGGTAATGTCTGAGCGAATTCAGTACTGAGTAATGTGATAGCGAATGGTATTGGACACGGTAACGCACATCAAACCTGATGGACTTTGTTCGCAGGTTCTGCACCGAAGGTAAAGGCTGCTGGGCCACTGACGGGCCACTTTGCGTTGGATCAGAGCTATACTCCTGCGCGACAGTGAGTCCTTGAACGAGACAAGGAGTACATGACGCTCTCACGCACAAAGTCTGCACGGCGATATGACTGCACAAGCCAAGTCTGACATAAGGGTGAGGAACGCTTCTCGCTCATTATGCGCCACACGCACTTTGAAATCCTTGATGTGTTTGAGCTTGAACTCCGGCATCACCTTGTCGTTCCACTGGGACATCCTCGCGGTCTGAAGGTCCTCGAGCCGCCTAAGTTGCAGAGCAGGGAAGCCATACTGTTGACACGCAAGCGTCTCTTGCCAGCGGTCCAGCAAGTAGCCTTGATTCTTAGACTCCGGGAGCCCTGGAGGCACCAGGCCTTTCGTGGTAATCGGCAGCAGTATCAAGAACTGACGTTTGGCCTGTGGCCAGCGTGGTGTGGCGTGTAGATGATGCGAGGATGAAGTTGGGTCTGCAGGGTCGATTTCGACAGTGAAGATATCGATGAGGAGCTTTAGACGGTCGATGGACCCATTATTGAACGTGCCCATCAGATACGCTTGCGGTGTTAGCTTGCTAAAGGTAGCCGTGAGGAGACATGGTCGGGGGTTCTCTTTACATCCATGCTCGTCGACCCAAGTCTTGAAGGTCAAAGCGTCCACACCGTGAGTGTCTTTCGTCCGGGCCTTCAGCCACTCCACAAGAGGCAACATCAGAGATTCGCGAATCCTCCACACTTGCCCTGGCGACGGCCCGAACTCCGGAGGATCGCGAAAGAAACCCGTAGAGTTGGAGGGGTGATCTCTGGGCATGCCATGATGGCAGAGTTCGCAAGGAAAGAAGACCTCGTGTCCGGCAACAGAAGGATCATGAACCAGCATGATAATGTATGAAGAACGCGATGACTGGTGGCGTAAGAAAGAGGAGGAAGTTGATGACTCGTCACCACTTTTGCTCTTTAAGAGGACATCCTTAGTATGCACGTCGATGGTCGAGAACATAAGCGTGTGACTAGATACAGAACAAAGACAATTGAGGGCCCGATGAGAACGATACGCTGAAGTACAACATCCGTCTCGTTTTGGGAAGCTCAAAGCCAACCGCTATCGCCGGATGTGGGCTGCGTGCGTTGTCCTTCGACAACAGGGAGGTCTTCGGAACTAGACGGTATGTGATGGTAAGTGCGGCACGGATAAAGAAGCGATAGACGACACGGAAAGAACAAGGTCCTCGTCGACGCGGGCAAGTTGCTGTCTGCGTTTATTCTTAATGGAGGAAGAGGGCGTGCTATGCGTGGGAGCCATCACATCACTAATGTTGGTTCTGATCGCCCGAATGTTGACAATAGGGTCAACCACCACTTGCGATATATATCTCACCTTTTTGTTTTCGTACCAGCCCCCCCTTTCTCTGTCCTTACAGACTAGGCGCAGGCGCCCCGAGCGAGGCTCATCTTCAGCTGAGCATTGCGACTGAACGCATCCCATACCTTTAATGGCTGACGATCCAACCGTCCCATACTACCTCAAAAACGTTCCGACGTTCAAGCATCTTCCTGATCCTCATGCCTATCACCGCTTCAAGGACATTAATACGCTACCTGCGATTGGAGACTTCGTCATCTGCTCCATAGATGCGGTGGCCTCGGTGGCGCACTTGGACAAGGAAGCCCGTCAAGCGGCACAGGAGCTACGTCCGCGGCGCTACATTGCATTCGTCATGGAAGTGCGTGTATCTTCCACGTAACTCCGGTTGAAACTCATATGTCACAGTCGCACGGGCTATCCATTGGACACGAACCCGTCAATGCATACGGGTTTTCCTTTGTGCGCCAGGGCCCGCCGCGCGCGACCCAACCAGGTCAAATCCTCTTCCGTGACTTCTGCATTCCTGTATTTCCGAATACCATCCATCCCACGGGTCGCAAGCCTCTTCGTCCTGTTCTGCCTCTTCCTTGGCGAGACTGCTATCTCGATACCCACCCCGATTTCAACTTTACTCAAGTTCGCGTCTCGTCCACCCCTCGTGACTACACCTGCGTTTTCCCGTGCGCAAGGGAACAAATACTCGACGCGAAGGAGATGGCGGCCAACGATTGCGTGATATTTGACCGCAGAACGGACGGTATGAAGCAGGGAGTACTCGAAGCCATCGCCACCGCTGCACTGCCGCCGTCGCCCACTTCCGCCTTCAAGGTTCCCCTGCCACCTTCGCCGGTGATTGTGGAAGCAAATCTTCCCGAGGACGTCGCTCATACGCCCGCGGATCTGGGCGTCGCTTTGGTGGAACCCGAAGTAACTGGAGACAACGTCTCGATCATCGCCAGCGACGATGAGATGTCCGTATGCGAAGACGGTCAATCTGCGCCGGATTCAGATGTTGATATAGGGCTATTGTTGCACCTCGAGACCATGTTCGATACGTCTGGGAATGTAAATGATCCCGTCGTCGACATCTGGTACGATCTCGACATGGTGCCCGAGGTGATAGACCCCATCTACTTCCTTGAAGAGCGGGCTCAAGTTCGGCGGTAAGCGTGGAAGCTCTCTGTGTGTGGGTCAGCCATCTGACGGGACAGTAGGATCATCTCCGACGCAGAGGCTCGATTGGGTATCACGCAGGCGCGTGAGGCGGCTGCAAAAACGGATGACTTCAACCCTTTCGGTCCGGACGAAGTGCCAGACGCTGCTCCTGAACCGAATGAATTACATATCCCAGCCGTGGAGCCTGCAGAATCCATATCATGGCTGAGAAGCAAGTCAGCTTGTACGTGTTTGCATGTCCATGACTTACGCTTAGCTGTGTCTGATCCTCAATACAGCTCTGGGGCGTTTGTCCGGCAAGTCTCTAAGTTTGCTACGGAAGGGTACTGCTTTCTTTCGTACATTGGCTTGTCACTCTGCTCAAGCACACGACACGCACGATTCATAGAGCTGTCTGTCTTTACTCTATTTTGCGTCTATTGTGAGACTGTTGTCAATCGTACGCCGTGGCTGGAAGCGCATCGTCGTCCATGTGTGAGCTCAGTGGCCAGGTTCGAGACGATTGAGCTATAAGTATACATGCGAGTCGGCGCTCTTCGCTCTCTTCCACCTCCGCCGTCATTCCGATTCGAGCTGCGGAAGTGCCAAGCACTGCATGCCGTGCTTACACCCCTGCAGAGTACTGATCTGGTTAGGATAGACCTGCAATGGCGGCCCAAGACGCCGGTCGCGGCGGGGCACCGGATAATCAGTTATCTGCTTACGATGCCGATGCTCAAGTCCGTTTCCGTACGGAATCGCACCAGAAAGGACCGTACAAACTGACTTATGTGACTATGTGTAACGCATATGCCTTGATAGATCGGTCTCACTCCGCATGTAATGGATGGTCATCACCATCCTTGCCTTGCTCGTGGGGTCGAAGCCGTATCTCGCCAGCGACTGGCCTCGTACAGAGGCGTACGGTTGAGGAACAGCGAGGACCATCAGACTCCATAACAGGCCCCAGCTGGAGGACCATGCTCAGGTGGGTCTTGGACTGCGAGGTAGTTGCTAGTGATTGTATTGCGCTGGTCGAGGAATGTCTCTCGGTAGCGGGGTACTGGCCGCGCTCCGTCGGAGACCTTGACGCGCACTTCGCAGTTAGTCACGACGCGTGATGTCACGCGCTTGGTTCGACTCGGGCGTTGCTCATGCGTTTGTCCAGAGACCTCCGGGTCCTCTCGGGAATCGGTCCACTATAGGCTGTATATAAGGCTTCACAAAAGATGGCACTTGCTACACGCATTCCTAGAGCATCAGCTCCTCTCACTCATAGCACTATCTTTCGACCGTTCACTACTTGCAATCATGCCTGCTAAGACTATCTTCTTCCTCGGTGCAACTGGCTACATCGGTGGTTCTATCCTTCAGCCTCTGCTTGAGACTCAGAGCGAGTACTCTATTACTGCACTGGTGCGCAACGTTGAGAAGGCTAAGAGGCTGGAGACGTTTGGTGTCAAGACGCTTCTTGGCAACCTCGACGACTCGGATAAGATCCAGCAGGCCGCGGCGGACGCCGACATTATCATTCACACTGTGCGTATCTCAGACTCTTGATTTGACCTTCATGTGACTCATGACTCTGTAGGCCTCTGCAGATCATGAGGGCGCCGCGAAAGCCATTCTCGCCGGTGCCAAGGCGCGCTTTGAAAAGACTGGCGTTGCTCCCGTCTACATCCACACATCCGGAACTGGTGTCTGCAGTGACAACGCGCTCGGCACGCACTACGATTCCGAGAAGCTGCCTCTCTACGACGACAGCAACCGCGCTATTATGGACTCCCTGCCTGATACCGCCTTCCACCGCAATGTCGACCTGATCGTGCTCGGCGGCGGCGAAGCCGGCTACATAAAGTCGTATATCGTCTTCCCGTCGACTATCTGGGGCATTCTCACCGGAAAGCTCGTCGACGCCGGGATCGCCAACCCCTTCAGCATTCAGGTCCCTCTCGCTATCAAGGGCAGTATTCAGAAGGGACAAGGCGCCATGGTTGGGCCGGGCGAGAACGAGTGGCCGCACGTCGAGATCCACGAGCTCTCGGATTTGTACATTCGGCTTTTGAAGGCCGCTATTGAGGGCACCGCAGCGCACGGCCGTGATGGGCTGTACATCGGTGAGAATGGGACATATCGCATCAAGGACGCTGCCAAGGCGTACACGCGAGCGCTTCACGCTGTTGGCAAGAGCCGTACGGCTAACCCGGAGAGCTTCACTGAGGAGGAGATCAAGAAGTACTTCGGCTGGGTACTCCCAATGAACCAGATCTGCCGACGATCGGCATTACTGTCCTATCTCCTCGGTATCCCGTCTTCTCCCCTACTTCTTTCACCAGATGGTAGCTTATTACTGTCTGCACCTACTTCTGCTCTGTCAAATATTTTGAGCGGGAGGTTGGGGTAAGAGGGGCGTCGGCGCGTTGTTCACGGCCAAATCGCCGGACATTGATGGGATTTACGTTTTCCCACGTTCGTCCAGTTACGCTTTTTCGTTGATTCCAGTGCACTTGAGATACGTTGAAGCACTCATAGTCTTTTTGCGCGGTCGAAATNCCAGTGCACTTGAGATACGTTGAAGCACTCATAGTCTTTTTGCGCGGTCGAAATACGAAAAAAGTAGAGGTACAGAGGCGGATCGGCACATCCGGTGCGATCGGCACATCTGGTTCATTGGGAGTATCCGTAGCCCGTGATGCCCCGAGGGTATCCCGACGATTGGGCAGCAAGCCAAGAGAAAGCTGACCGTTCCGACACGTACTATACGCGCATGAGAGCGAGAGGCACACGACCAATTTGTTTCCTTGAGCTTTGTCACCCGGAGCCGCTCACGCCTAGCGCGCATACACGATGACATTCATCTCCGGACACATTGACGCGTGAACGCGGTGTGCGGAGGGAGATGGCGGTTTGTGGCAAGGCCTGGTCCGGCGCTCGGCGGCGGACTGCGATGCGTCATCCGGAGTTGCGAAAGAAGGCTCAGCCAACCGTGTTGCGCGGCTTGCTGGAGGCCAGCGATGGAGCCTTATATAATGCCGGTACAGCTTCAGAGATGACCTACCCTGCAAGTCTTCTTTTGACCCTACCATCACTACAGTCCCGCTGTAGACGCCGTCCGTCTTGATGAGTGTCGTGACACAGCCTTTTTCGGTTTTGCTGCACGCCGGCAACTCTACTGGTACCAATACCATGTCTAACGAACTACCATCACTGGTTCTGGGCGAGTGCGTATGTCCTGCCTACGCATAATACTGCCATCTGACATTTCGACAGGCTCGTGCGCTTAGCCCGCACGCTTGTACCATATCCGGAAGACCGTATTCCCCTTACGCTCGCCAATGCGCCGTACACGACGATCCAATTTATACCATTCTTGACGATGGCATATCTGGCCAGACGACCAAACACATACATCCTACGCCTACTGCTCCTACCCATCCTCATCGTGACCGCTCTGCGTGCGGCTTTCGGATATGTCTGGACCGACCCGCGACTAAACGTGTATAATTGGGGTGCAGCATTATACTGCCTCGTCCTGATTGGCAAAGGACTCGACTGGGCACTCGTGAAGGAGGGGCGAATCAAGCAGGGAGAGCGCACGCCTGGCGCGATGGAGGAACCCGCTGTGGCAAACAAGGAGCAGACGGAATCAGCGCCGGGAGACGTGTCCGCGCGTAAGCGCCCACTCGCCAACATCCTGCCCCGCGGTATGGAGGATGCACTCGAGCTCGCGTTTGCGTTACGTGGATTGGGATGGGACTACGGTCGCGACGTACCCGTACCAGCCTTCACGCGTCCGACAGAGCCCAAAGCCTACCTTCGTGCAACGGCGAAATCCTTCCTTATCAATTTCCTCGCACTGGACTTCCTGGAGTCTATGATCAAGCTCGTACCAGGAGTGGGCTCAGTTGACGGAGCGTCGATCTTCCTGCCACAACTTCCTCCCTTGCAGCGTTACACGCTATCTACCGCGATTCATTTCGCCACGGGCTTCTCCCTGCTGGCCGGCTTTGGGATGGTATATGACCTATGCACCCTTATCGCCGTCGGCGTGCTTGGGCATAGCCCAACGAGTTGGCCACCCGTGCTTGATGCGCCATGGGCCGCCGAGTCGCTACACGACTTCTGGGCACGTCGGTGGCACCAACTTCTCCGCCAAACCTTCTACATCTGGGGCGGCCGACCCGGACGCGCGCTCTTTGGCAACATCGGACTAGTGCTGGGTACTTTCCTCGCGAGTGGCTTGTTCCACGAGTGCTCAATGTACGCGATGGGCAAGGGATGGGATACACGTGTACCGGTGTTCTTCCTGTTGCAGGGAGGCTCGGTCATCGGGGAGCGTATTTGGAGAAGGGTAACGGGGCGCAGAGTGGACGGTATCCTGGGCACTGCATGGGTATACTTCGACATCGGTATCCTCGGTCAACCCCTCGTCGATGCTTGGCACTCTCGCGGCCTCGCCGGTGGGATGGTCATCCCACCTTTCATCAGTCCAGCGCGTTTGGTCCTTATACCTGCCGCTCGGGCCTTATTGAAGGTCTAATTGTATTGCTGTAATTTCTTGCTTTATATCACATCTATACTGCCATTTTGTATTCCCACTGTACACGTCGATGCTTAGATCTACTGTAATACCTGAATATATGTCACATTACGTACTCAAGTGCAAAGGACACAGTAATGTCTGTCTACAGCTCGCTAGGATACGAAGCAGAGGAAGCAGAAACGAACGCCGAACCACTAGAAGGCAAACCCAACGGCACATGCAGAGGGAACTGGATCCAGTAATCGCGAGCAGCATTCCCCGAGAAGCCGACGGAAACCATAGGCGGCAACCTCTCGTCCCTCCTCCCGTTCTGAATGAAGTCCGCATCTCGACAGAGCAGCTCGAGCGATAGCCCGCCCAGCAATTGATCCCCCTCGAGGTTCATGATCTCGAATGCGCCCAAGGGCCGACCTTCGTGTCGGATCTGCGCGGCGTATTCGAGCAAAGTGAGAACACTTGCGCGCGCGACTTTGAGTGCGGCAGCGAGCCGCGGTGGGCGGTGGGCAGTTGAGCTGGGTCGGAGGTTCTGGGCGTCGAAGATGATGTGTGAGAGAGGCGTGGAAAGATCGATGCTTTCGCGACGGAGCACTTGGAGGAGCGCGGTTGCCGAGGGCCATTCTGGGCAGACGGCTACGGTCGTGAGCATTGGCAGAAGTGCGAAGAGCCCGGACCAGAGTGTCGGTGGGCACTCCTGAGTGGCGCGGAGGTCGAGATGCGTCAAGGTGTTGCGGGTAGACCATGCCTCCAGTACGTCCATCAAGATAAGCGCGCTGTTGGGGTCGGTGGGAAAGGCGATGTGCATCTCAGGCGCGCGGGCGCTTGAACGCGGTGATTGATCAAAGACGTTGAGGTCGGTATGAAGAGAGGCGAATAGACTGAGGGAAGCGCTGCGTTCGTTTTGCTTGACGGCAAACGACCGGACAGGCGCGCGATTGTGCGCTTTAATACGTGCAGCAAGAGCGCGGTAGAGCATGGAGTCGTACTCCGAGTTGGGCCCGCTGACAGTGACAGAGACGCTCGCGTGCGGCAAAAGGAGCATAGACTGAAGGAGGAAGATACAAGCTGTCACTGCGCCCTGAACGCGGACACGTCCGAGCGAGGGAGAGGGAAGAACAATCGGCTTGATCGTCAGGTCTGCAACGGGAGTGACGCTTTTCTGTAGGGTAAGCTCGAGCGTCTCCAGAGCAGTGCAGCGAGAGATAGCATCGACGACATCTTGTAGTTGGTAAACCACAGGGAAGGTGTCACTGAAGTTGATGGTAAGACCGCGAAGACCATGGATAGAGTTCCAGCTGAAGAGTGCGTCGGTAAGAGCAAGGTCACGCAGATGGACCAGTTTGTCGGCGAGGAAGTCGTCCGAAACAGTCAGGATAAGATCGCCGAAGTCACAGGTACGGACGTCGAAGTGGGTCAGACGAGGATGCTCGGACACATTCAGACGAGCGAGAACGTCCGCAACACAGGATGATGCGCCATGCACTGAGAGCGAGAGGAGGCCGTCCGGTCGCCAGAGCCACGAAGCGTAGGGGGCGAGCAAGCTAGAGGTGACGATGTATAGGTTGTCGAGCTTGACCGTCAAGGGGTGGGACTTGGATCTTCCTCGTTGTAGATTGAGGCGCCTGATCATAGCGGAGTGACTGGGGAAGTTGACGTCGGAGGGTAGGTGACCAATATGAATGTAGCTCCAGAGCTTTGGAGAGTCGATAGCGACGTTCCTCCACCTCCTGCAGACCGTGAGAAGGGCGGTCCAGCTGAGCGCGAACAGCGCTTGGTGGCTTTCATTGTCGGCGTAGAGGAAGAAGATGTGCGAAAGAATCTCGGGAGGGAGTTTACATATGGGAGAGGCGAGGAGGTTGCGGCACTCTTTCATGAGGCATTGTCTTTGGCGCCCGCGATAGATCTCGTTATCGAGCGCCATCAAGAGAACAGACTGAGGCCGTCCGTCCGCGTAGGCTCTGGACAAACAGCCCAAGAACCTGTATACAGTTAGGGTTCAACTCGAGTATTACGATTATGGCACGTACTTGTCGTTCAGTGAAGCCATGTAGTTCGCGCTGAATATGAGAGGTCTGTTGAGGAGGTCAGGAGTTGAAGTACAGGAGAGGACGACTCCCGAACTCCGTTCTTATATAGCTGTACAGGAGCATACGAACAATGCTCCTGTCGTGCGGAGGGGTTGAACATCGCCGCGGCGAAACCGCCAAGAGGAACAGCCGAGGGTGGGCATCGTGACGCATAAACGTTCGAACTCTTAGCGTCACCGACGAAAATGCCGTTGGAAAGAACAGAGACTGGAAGGTGCTCTGCTTTAAGGCAACTTCGATCGCAAAAAGCCACAAGCGGCGAGATGTCATGATTGCGAACCACCAGACTGAATACGCGAGCACGCATCGGCAGAGTCCATAGCCGTTTCACTGGGGAAGGCCAGTCAAAAGCGAGAGGGATGCAACAACCTTCGCTCAGTCGGGTTGTCGAACCTCGCACACCGGCGTGGTCAAGATGGCATCGATGCCCTCGGAATCCCAGCCTAGCAGGCTACAACATTCGAGAGTAGTGTGGGTTTACTGCAATCAAGGTGGTGCCACACGAGCGGCTCTAACGGCCGTGGTGGTACGAAGTCAAGTCGAGATTCGCAGATCCTCCGGCCCGGCCGCGTCTCCGCGCGTCTCGACGCGTCGGCACGCGTCTTGCTTCCTTCCGCTCAACACAACTCCTCCCCACTTCTTCCCGTACACGTACCGAACCCCACACTCCAGACAGCGCATTACGACCGCATGCGAAGAGACGTCCGAATATTACTCGTGGGTGATGGTGAGCATAACCTGAATATTTGGCAAGTCGTGTTTTGAGCTCATGCAGCTGCGCCGCGGCACAAGAGGGTGTCGGGAAGAGCACTATCGTCACTTCGCTCATCAAGGAGTCTTTCTTGCCTCAAGTACGTTCTCAGAAGCTACATACTACTCACAGCTCACTCATACATGCCTACAGGTACAACACATCGTGCCCGAGGTAACCATCCCACCAGAGGTTACTCCGGAGAATGTTACGACGTATATTGTTGACTCGGGTGGTACGTCTATTGCGCCAAGTGACTCATGACATATCCTTACATGATTACATTAAGCTCGGCCGGAAGACCGGCAACTACTGGAGATGGAAATCCGCAAGGCGCATGTCATCTGCGTCGTATACGCCATAGACAACCCCAACTCGTTTGATCGCATACCGACCTACTGGCTGCCGCAGTTCCGACAATTGGGTGTCAATGTGCGTAATTCACACCCTTGAACTAGAGTGCAGCGCTCATAGCGCTGCCAAACAGGTCCCAGTCATTCTTGTAGGGAACAAGATCGACCTCCGCGGCGGCGAGGTTACCAACGAAGCTCTGGAGGCGGAGATTGTGCCCATCATGAAAGAGTTCAAGGTGCGTGGAGATGCTCTTCTATATTAGACTTCGAACTAACAGAAATCAGGAAGTCGAGACGTGCATCGAGTGCTCAGCCAAGATGCCGCTCAATGTCTCGGAGGTGTTCTACTTCGCACAAAAGGCTGTGCTACATCCGACAGCACCGTTATACGACTCACGAGATCATGTGAGCATCATATACTCTGTATGGTATCTTCATATCGCTGAGCGCTGGGATCAGGTACTCAAACCAGCTTGCGTCGAGGCACTGAAGCGCATATTCAAGCTCTGCGATGCGAATAAGGACGGGATATTGGACGACACTGAGCTCAACGAGTTCCAGGTACGAATGCGCCAATATCAAGTCTTGTCATGTTCTCATGATTTTACCAGCGCATCGTATTCGCTGCACCCCTACAACAACAAGAACTAGAGGGCATCAAGGGGACAGTCCGAGAACACGCTACAAACGGCGTGACGGAGCGTGGTCTCACCGAGGCCGGCTTCTTATACTTGAATACAATGTTCATTCAACGTGGGCGTTTAGAAACCACTTGGACAGTGTTGCGCAAGTTCGGCTACGGCGAGGACTTGCGCTTGACAGAAGCATATCTTTATCCGAAGTGCGTGCGTGTCGTCGCCGAGATTACCGTGCAACTGCTGAATACGTCGGTTCCTGCCCAGATTCGATGTCCCGCCAGATTGCTCCGTCGAGCTCAGTCCTCTCGGCTACAAGTTCTTCACGGAGATCTTCGACGTATTCGACAAGGACCAAGACGGCGCGTTGAACAGGCAAGAGCTCGAGGACGTATTCAGCACTTCGCCCGGTAACCCGTGGGTACACCGAGACACCGAGGTAGACACGCTGCAAACGTGGTTAGCGCAATGGAGGTGCGTTGCTTCTCCAATGCTTCTTCGCTTTCATATCGGTGGCGCTTCGAACCTTGAGCTGACGGTATGATTTAGTATGACGACACTATTGGACCACAAGACGACGCTTGCATACCTCGCGCATCTGGGTTACCCGTCTGAACCAAGGACGGACGCGTTGCAGGTGTCGAAGCCACGGAAACAGGACAGGCGGCGGAACAAGTCGAGCCGGAATGTGTTCTTGTGCTACGTGTGTGGCGCGGCGGGGTCTGGCAAGACATCATTGTTGCGGGCGTTTGCGGGGAGGCCATATGCGGATGTGTATGAGCCGACAGCCAAGATGTTCAGCGTCGTCAATTCGGTTGAGATCGATGGCGCGGAAAAGTACCTCGTGGTAAGAGCACCGTTGTGTTGATATGGCGGGCAATAACGCTGATGTGTTCGTATAGCTGCAGGAGTTCGGCAGCAAGTACGAAGCCGAAATGCTCAAGAGCTCAAAAAAGACCGACCTCGCGGACGTGATTGTGTACGTGTACGACTCGAGCGACACAAACTCGTTTTCCTACATCAGCAATCTACGTGTGCGTCCATTCCTCGTGCATGAGAGAACGGCCAAATCCTGACGTATGCCTTGACAGCAACAATACAGCCTCGATCACATCCCTACGCTCTTCGTCGCAACGAAGTCGGACCTCGACCTTGCGCAGCAGCGACACGAAGTACAGCCTGACGTATACTGCCGACGCTTGAACCTGCAGGTGCCTGTGGCTGTCAGCGTCCGGACGAGCCAGATGGCAGACGTTTTCCAGACGATCTGCAGCATCGCGATGCGCCCGTACGTACAATTCTCTCATACCGTTCCTTCTTTACACTCCTTCCCGTTTCCGATGTCCGCCGCTGACCCAGAATGGACAGGAATTCGTCGATACCTGGCGGTGCGGAACGCAGCTTGTCACCAGCAGCACGGCTGAGCACGTGGGTGGCCGCGTCCGTATTCATGGGCGGGCTTTCGGCCGGTGCGGTCGTAGTATACCGCGCGCTGATGCGGCCAGGCGGCAGTGGCACGTTGGGCGCTTTCGGGCAGTGGTTAGGCTGGTTACTTGGGCGGAGGGATTTGTAGCAGGGTTACGGCGGCGCGCTCGGGCTTACTTGCTACTTACACTACACCTGATACCCCGGCTCTTACTATGTATCATACGGCTCAGAATAATGTGTGTTTGCTTGGTCTGGAGGGGAGGGGCAGAGGGTGCTCGGGCGACCGCACGTTGCAAAGATGGAATGACTCGCGCGGGCCTCGAGTTTGGCCTCGAGGACGAGCGGCCTGCTGATTTTCGTAGAGTTTCTGTTGGGCGACGGCGGGCACGTTGTAAGCTATAGGGTAAAGACTACTGTCGCTGTCCTCTCGAGCACGGTTTGAACCCCAACCACCACCACTACATACATCCGCCCAGCCGATCCCGAGTAGAGGTTGTGCGCGCGAAGCAGCGTCATCTCGAACTGCCCCTAACTTTGATCTTGCAACCAACAAACACCCACATCGACCGTCGGTCCTTTCCAAATCCTCCCAACCACCGCACCACCGACCATAATGGACGCGGAAATGTCAGGGCCCTCTGCGCTGTCCGTCTTTGAGGAGGCGTATGTAGAACAGCAGAATCCGACGGCGGCTCCGGACAGCGAGCGCAAGATGTTGTAAGTCGCGCGCGGCGCGCAGCGCCCTATAATAGGCGCGCCCTAATGCGGTGATATTAGGGACCTCGTATTCGTGCAGGACTGCACGGGCAGCCAAGGCAGCTACATCTCGAGCGCGACGAAGAACATCGAGCTCATCTGCAACAACATCTACGAGTCCGGCCGGCTCGCCACGCGCGACGACCTCCGCATCGGCCTCGTCGCCTACCGCGACCACCCGCCCCAGGATCACACGTATGTGACAAAGAACTTCGGATTCAGCTCGGATATTTCAAAGGTCCATCGCGATTTGAGCACGTTGTATGCTTCGGGCGGTGGCGACGGGCCCGAGGCGGTCACGGCCGGATTGGCGGAGGCGCTCGGCATGGACTGGCGCCCGATGGCGAGCAAGATGATCGTCCTTATTGCCGACGCGCCGCCGCATGGGATCGGAGAGTACGGGGACGGTGAGTGATTCGGTATGTTACTGTGTATGGATTTTGAAGTTGATGTGGCGCAGGGTTCGACGATGGCTCCCCGGACGGCAACGACCCCTTGCAGCTCGCGCGCGAGATGGCGGCCCAAGGAATCACACTCGTACGTCTTACTATGCACGTTCTATTACACCTGATGCTCATTGTATGCAGTTCTTCGTCGCCTGCGAACCCGCACTGAGCAGCTACTCCGTGCGTCTATTATCCTTCATTTTAGGCGCCGAACCTTGATCTGATAATTTCCCAGTACGCAAACGACTTCTTCAACGCCCTAACATCCATAACATCCGGCCTCATGCTGCCACTCACAACGGCCGACCTCCTCGCACACGCGATCGTCGGCCTCGTACTCGAGAACCTCGACATGGAGCGCCTCGTCCGCGAAGTCGGCCAAGCCGTCGCACAGCGCATCCTCGGCGAAAACCAGTCCGTGGACGACGTCGCGCGCGAGCTGCACGAGAAGCTGCTCCTGCGGAACGAGAGCACCAAGAAGCTCGTGATCGAGAGTATATACAAGGAGAGCGCCGAGGCCGCGCATAACGTTTCTGTTTTCCAGAACGCGCCGAGTTTGGCGGACGCGAGGCCGCATTTGAAGAGGGTGAGCGGGAGCCGGTTTACGGATAAGTATGTGCAGGCGCGGGCGGCGGCTAGGAGCGGGTATGCGCCTGCTGTACCTGCTCGTAGCCCGCCCACGAGCCCGCGATTGAGCAGCAGCCCGCCACGCAAAGTCGTCACGGAGTTCAAGAGCTTCTCGGCGCACAACGGCTCGAGTGTATATGGAACCGCAGTTGCGGCCAGCCCATTTTCGCTTGCGGGGAACCGTGCGGCGTTTGGGAAGGTCAGAGGTGGAGGTGGCTTTGGTATGGATGACGACGACGAGGATGATATGGAGAGTGCTGCTGCCGCTGCGGGTGTCACTCCGGCTGAGCGGCAAGGGATGTTCCTCAAGGAGGACTCAATTACTTTCGAACAGGTCAGTTCCACCGATCGTGTCGTATACCAAGCAGGAACTGATGCTATCGCGCAGGCCCGGAGAATCGCGATGCAAAGCGCCTGGAGAGGCACGCGCACCGCGTAAGGCCGTCTGTTATACTGTACACATCGTTCTGGAGCTCGGATCCCTTTGCATATTGCATATTGCTTTGCATCTATATGCCTTGCGTCTTCTGCGTCTTGCTCACCCCCTGCTCATTGTCACTATCTCATCTACCTCACTCCATCCCACTCCTCTCTATACGTTCTCAGACTCGTCGTCGCATCGCATTGCCGCTGCTTTCCAGTTACTTCTCCTCCACACCAACTCCTCTCCACAGATCAGGATCTGAATACGAATCGATATCAGCCGGAAATCTTGGCAACACTGTATGTAGGCTTGCGCTTGTATAATGGATAAATTGTGCAGATCTAGTATGTGTGATGCGTGTGACGTGAAAGGGGTAGGTATGTGCAAAGTATGATCCAGCAAATGGTGCGCTATGCGGACGACTCCCGTCGCCTCTTCTTTTTCTTGCCTTCCTTCTCGGGAGGGCCATCTACAGGCATTGCGGTAGAGTCCTCTACAGCCTCTCGCCGTCTCTTCTTCTTGCGCTCTAGAGACGGCTCTCCTTCAGGTTCCAACACTGTCGGGGTCGCCTTCTTCGTCGGCTTGTCCGAGTCCCCTGATGTGGACTTCTCCACCTCCTTTGCCAACTTCTTCGCTTTCCTCTCCTCCCTCTCTGCGCGCCTCTTCGCTTTCGCGCCTGCTTCAGGATCAACACCCCCGTCGGGTTCTGTGCGTGCTTTTCGACGCTCCTCCTTCGCACGTCGTTTCACCGCTTTCGCGTCGTCCTCAGTCGCCAGAGGTTCAGGCTCGACTGATGCGGATTTGGACGTAGAGGCAGAGGCAGAGGACACAGCCGTTGTGGACACTGAAGCCTTCGCCGCGCGGCGTGCCTCCTTCTCCGCTTTCCTCTTCGCCTTCTCAGCCCGTCTTTGCTCTTTCTCCTCCCTCGAGCGTTTCGTCTTTCCTTCCTCCTTTACCTCCCTGTCGACTTCGTCCCGTTTCCTCTTATTCTTTCCGTCACCGCTCTTCGCCTCCTCCCCAGTATGATGCACAATATGCGCGTGCTCCAGCGCGTCCCTCATATCCTCATGTCCCGCATGTACCTTCTCCTCCATGCTCATCTTCTCCGTCTGCACCATCTCCTTCTCCGTCGCGTCTGGCCCCAGCACCGGCCCCTTGAAGAAGCGCGAATATAAGTTTTTGCGTGCTGCGGCGCGTTTGGCTATTGCCATTACGCTTTGTGGGTGTGAGGTGGGTTCGGGGGTCGTTGATGAGGAGTGGTCGACTATGGTACCGGTTGGAGGGCGTTTGTTTGAGATTATGCCTGTTGTTGTGCGACGGAGGGAGGGAGCGGGCGTCTAATGTGATGTAAGCATAGAGTATATTGGAACAAGTGTAGAGTACATACGGATTCAGAGTCGGACTCGTCGTCGCTGCCAACTTTTATTTGGATCGCGCTACTTGCAGCAGCGAATACACTACACACGACATCACATATCAGAGTCGATTACATTGTTGGTCAGTGAGAAGGTCCTGCGTACTGGTCCCAGAACGGAAATGCCTCATCTCTATCCTTCCCAACACCCGCAAGCGTCCGTTTTTGCGGTATAGACAACGGACGAGACAGAGCACCTTCCCTCAGAGCAGTTCCATGACCCTTCCACCCGTTATTCCTCAGATACGTCTGACTATCGAGCGGCATGTCAGAAAAGTGACAAGTGGAAGCAGAAAGCAAGAGAGCCTGATCCTGTCAAAAGATTTGATGGAAGTGAGGTCGGATTAGGCAAGCGCCCGCGCCTCGGACTCTGGACGTAAACCTGATCACCGACGACGACGACCTCGGGCCCTTGCACGATGACAGACGCGGCTTCTTCGTTGCGTCAGGCGGCGCTTATGACTCTCAAGCGTAAAGCTGCTGCTGCGAGTGCGGCACCGACGCACCCGATGGGGATGTTGCGCGGTTCGCCGTCGATTCAGCTCGACTATGGCGCCGGCGACGACGACGAGCCTGCGCCTGCTCCTGTCCCTGAACCAGCTCCCGCAATTATTGAAGATAAGCCTGAAGCTGACTCGCCACCGGAGACGCGAGAGGAGGGGGAGATATCGGACGAAGAGATGCAAGAGCCGCCACCGAGCCCGCCCGTGCCCCCAACGCCGACCCCCGGCGACCTCGAGCCTCGATCCGCGCACGCTCTACAAGCCCACCCCAGTCTCCCGCCGCGCCCTACATCTACAACAATAAACAGCGCGTCATCCAAAGTCCCCCCTCGTCTCAAAGACAAGACAGGAGCACAGGACGACGCCTCCCCCACTCCAAAGCTCCCCTTTCAGCTCGACGAGCAGCACGTCCGGCCCGGTCTCGCGCTCACGCAGGCGCAGTACGACTCTGCGAAGGATATTGTGCTCGATTTGCTCGGGTGGGGCGTGCCGCCGGAGTACCTCGTCGACTGCGGACTGTCGCGCAATCTCGTCTACTACGTCTTTGCAGAGCTCAACCTCCGCATGCCTGCCAATCTCGACACTTCTGGCATCGTGCCCTATCCACCGCCACCGGAGATGCTGGCAAAGTGGCTGCAGGCGGTGGAGGCGGAGAAGAACAGGGTTGATGATGTTGCTGTCGAGGACAAGGGGAAGGGGAAGGAGGTCGTCGATGATGATACGCCGAGCTTGTTGGCGCGTATCAGCGACATGCCGGTTGCTGAAGTTGCCCCGGCGCCGACGCTGGAGGAAATGGAGGAACAGCGCCGGAGGGAGTTGATGGCCCGTAAAGCCGTCCAAGCGAGCCGAAAACGCAAGGAGTCGACAATGCCGTCCACCGCTCAGCCGCCGGCAAAGAAACTCACTCCCGCACCGCCGAGCCTCGTTGAGCGCATCCAGCAGATAACAGATGCCGAACGTCGGCCCCTTCCGGTGGCAGCAACAGACAGCGTCGACGACTTCTTACGGTCTATCGCGCCCATCCCACTCACGTCAAACGTGGACATGCCGCGCACGGCCTCTCCTGAACTCATGGATGTCGACGACGGCGAGATACCCGGTCTCAGTCGCAGCAACTCTGTCACAAGAGCACGAAGCACAAGTGCAGCTCCAGCGTCTATTACGTCTACATTAACAGCGCCACCGCCCGCCTCTGGATCAGCCCACAGCAAAAGCTCAACGCCAACGCCAACACTCGCTGTTGGACCCACGGGCACTCTCCCAGCCTCACCCATACCCACTCGTCCCGCACGCCGCGCCAAAAGACCCGTCGCAGCCGACTTCGTCGACGACCCAGCCCCGCCCCCACAACCCGCGCAAACCCGACCGGCCCCAACTTTGCCCTACCTCCGCCGCGCGCAATCCCAATCACGAACCGAAGTCCAAAGCCCCTTCGCAGCGCTCAGCCAAGCGCCGGCACATTGCAGCTTCATATGGGAGAGCGACTCCGACGCTGGCGATGATGCGCCCAGCTCGAGTGCGAAGTCGACGCTTTCGGTTGCTGCGCCTGCGTTTACGCCTAGAGGTGGTGGTGTAAATGGGCTGGGGAACGGTGCTGGGAGTGGTGCTGGGACGGGCGCGAATACGCCCAGTGCGGCAGATCTGGATAGGGATATTGAGAAGTTGCGGGCGATGATTAGGGAGAAGGAGGAGATGAAGCTGAAGAGTCGGCTTAGCGGGGTGCGTTTGATTTCTTTGCGTGGTATTCTTTTCTTCCTTTCTTTTTTGCTCTGGTTCTGCGCCGCACGTTCCTCGTACGCGGAATCTGTGCCAGTTTCTGACATCTATGCGCGCTGTTGGAGGCCTCCAAGGCCACCTTATGTTCTCTCTTCATGTGGAGGGCGGCGGCCTTGAATTCTGCTCGCTGAGCGGAGCACGCGCGAGGTTGTGCGGCGCCCGAAAGACCGTGCGCTTTGCTTCTTGATCTGCAACCACATATCTGCGCGTACTGGCCGCGTTGCGTTGTAGCAGGCCGCCGTACTTGACGAGATTTGCTCGGCGGCCTGGTGGTGATACGGGCTCGTTGGAAACAGAGCGAGGATATGCGGCGCCCGTAAGGATGTCTGCCCTCAGTCTCGCTCGGCGATCTTCATATGAAGATCTGGTGTACGAGCGTACTCGCTGAACGGCATGAACGCCGGCCTTGTGTGTATGTTTCGTACGGCGGTTCAGCGATAATGCAGAGTTGTCAAGGAACGAGTAATGCTGCGCGAAGGGCCGGCCCGCCTCGCGCAATGATCTTCACTTGAGATCTGTTGCCCGTACACGATCTTCGAGTTAAGGCATCTCTGCTATCGTTTGTACGGCAACGCATGACGAGGGCATGTACAGCGATGCTGCTTTCTGCGTTCTCGGGTAGCCGGCGCCCGCGGAATGCTCGCATGCAACTCCTAATACCTTCATTCGGAGGATGTCTGCTTGCATATCCTTGCTTTGGGCGTTGTCCATGCTCGGACCGGATCTCACGTTGACGGCCGACCGTATCGCAACGAAGATGCGCCTGGATGGGCTGTTCCAACAATTACACTTGGTTGCTGTGATCTACTTTGCGTGCTGTATTCACGGTGTTCTCCAACTTCTCGCTCGACTTCGGTCGAAGCGGATGAGATCCGTTGTATTCCTCATCGCTCTGCGATCTCCGTACGCGGGCCGGCGGTCGGCCAGCCTAGCTCTCGCGGCCTTCTCCTCCCAGTCTCTCGTTCATCTGCCAGCTCGCGATGCGCGCACGGTGGTGGAGACTGCTCCTAGCTTCTAGTCGAGACCGCTCTTTCGTCTCTCTACCTTCGTCTCGTCCGGCACGATGATTCTGCCTTTGCCTTTCCTGTTCCCGAGCGGCCTGCGCCTTTACATGTTTTTCTATGCTTCTTGTTTCTCCGAACCTACGCTCACGGACTTTGTCCCAACAGGTTGCGCCACCGACTGCAGCCGGATCCGGCCGGTCTACGCCTGTGACGGCCGCTCCAACTGCGACGGCACCGATGCCGGCTCCCGCTGTCAAGCAAGAGGCCGTTGACGAGGAGGATGTGCCCATGACTGGCGACGGCGAAGGCGAAGGCGAGTCGGGTGAGTTCTAGTCGATATGGTTCTCTCTGCTTGCGGCTGTGATCGGTCCTTGCGGGCTCATGGGAACGAAACGCGAAATGAGTACGACGTCGGCTGCGCGGGCCCATTTGTTGCTGTGGCGCTGAAACGGGCAGGGTGCGCATCCATCATCGCCGTCAACGGTTCGAGTGGCGCGGGATCAGCAAGCGACCTGTGTTCGTTTTCGGACGGGGCTTCGTACGTGGACGCCGACGTGGAGGGCAATCGGTACTCCCTGGATGCTATTCTTGCTGCTGGGGTGCTTCTCCCGCCCCCAGAGCTTCGAATCATGCGGCATCACCGCGCGCGCTGGCCTGACGCACGCAGCTTCGTCCCGAGATTCCGTGCCGCAGGGTGGTTCCCAGCGTAGAGCCCGTCGTACCCATACACTGCACCCGCGGCAAAGTCTATCGGGCGGCAAGGCCTCGTCTGCTGAGCCTCTCGTTGCATGCTGCGTACGCCGGGATTGGACGCGCTGGGGCGATGGCGCAGATCTGAAGGCAGAATTCCTGAGGGCTCGAGACCCCTGTCACTATCTAGCTCGCCGCGACCTATTACGGCCAGGCGCTTCCCTCTCCTAATCCCTGCCTGGGAAGTCATGTAGCGATGTTGGCTCACGCGTGTCACCCCTGTAGGCGCCCAAATAAACAATTCAACGCCGCAAGAGGAGGATCGGAGTTCTGTGATGTCTACGCCTAACGGTGCGTTCTCCCTCTGATCTCTCTCGGCCTGTTGTTTGGCTGTCGTCGGAGTTGGAAACTGGCGCACATGTGGGGAGATGTGGATGTTGCTTCGCCGGCTTATGATGGAAGAGGGAGTTTGTGGGGCGCGATGGAGGGTTGTGGGCGCTTGCTGACTATAGATCCGCGCTCGCCTTTCCTGTCCACCCACGCACCGTTCTTCGATCCGCGCTCGTCCGCCTGCCACCCGGACTCTAACGCACCTCGACCCATCTACCTGCCTATGGACATTGGTCTCACGGATACGTTTATCGCCCTCGCCATGCTTATCGACCGTGCCATCGTCCATTCAATCGACACGCCAACGTTGCACCCTCTGGCTTCGACTGGACCCTTCCGGGCTCGATCGTGTTCTACTCTATTCGAATTCAACGAACTCTACAACCGGAACCTCACCGCGCGCCGTTGTATTACAGGCTCGAGTGTTCCGTTGCCTCAAGATCAAGGCGAGTGGTTTCTTGACGTCGACTATCTGAACAGGTGTCGCTGACCTAGATCTTGACATTCTTTATTTCCAATTGCCTGAATTCGACCCTGCACTGGTGCTAATGTTCGACTCACCGTGTCCCACGCGATGGCTGTATCGATCCTTCGTCAAACCTTCTCCCTCCCCTGGGGCTACACTGCTGCCGCATCCGTGCGCACACGCCGCACCCGCCGCTTTTTTCTCACCGCGTACGCCCATCCGCCGCCCCGTTCGTTCCTCGAACGATGGCTTCCTGGACCGAATCCTCTGACCTTCGCCCTCCTTCCGCTTTGGCGCCTCCTTTGCCTTCCGGCCCTCCCATGCGCGAATGTGCGAACGCGGCCGGACACTTTTCATTGTGCTCGCTCGTTCTGTGTTCTCTGTCGGCCTTCGCGCGCACCACCGGGCTCTTTCGGTTTCGGTCGAACCGCCTATTCTCTATTCTCTATCCGTCGGACACCCGTGCGCCTCCGACCAAACGGTTCTGCCGACTCTTGCGCACTTCCTGCTCTTCTCGCCCGCGGCTATTGCCACCGACCGTCCCGCTCACTCTCTTGCGCTTCCTCACCTTCGCGCCTGCAATCGGTTGGTCGTCCGTAGAAGCTCACACGGAGGGCCAGACTGGATTGCAAGCGGCAAGGGCGTTTCCCCCTCCTGAGCCGAGCCCCGCCAATGCCTTCTGATTATCTTTCTTTTCTATCATCATCTTTCTTCGTGAATAATTCACCATTCTGCCCTGCCGAACATTGCTACACCTCCTCGCGATCCGACCCTATCCGAACAAAACACAAAACACAAACATTCTATCACTGGAACGCTTAAACCGAAATGCTACACCATTCCCGCTGTCCGTCGTCCTCTTACGCATCTGCTTATGCTCGTACGCCCCCTCGTTTTGATTCCCCTTGGCATCGTTGTACGTTTGCAGGATACGGCATTATTGCCGCTCTCACAGGCCCCTCCGACGCCCATAATTCCGACCGCCACAGCAGCTGCGGTGGTCCACGACGACAGCGAGGTGCGTCATTGGAAATACTCGAGGAGAGCTCTGATGGCCCCGGCGTTTTCGTTCGCGCTGACCCTCCCCGGCCTTTTCCTGAAACAGCAGAGGCTCTTTAAACCTTACAGCTCCGTCCTCACGACGTACAGCCTCGGCAACCACGACCAAGACTCGGACCCGCTGACCACGGCGCTTAGGCGGAGGAAGAACGCTCGAGATGTCGAGCTCGACGACCGCGTCTGTCTTTACGAAGCTGGCGGCGGGCTGTGCCGTGATCCCGCGTGCACGGCCGTACATCTCGATCCGACTCGACTGGCCGGCGGTATCAAGACGTAGGAGAAAAAAGAATAAAAGAGATTGATGGATACATGCAAAAAAAGAAAAGAAAAAAGACGTCCTGTTGGAACGCATCGTCTGCTCGCTTGTCGTACCACTTCCTGTCCCCCGCTCCCAGTTCACACATCCTGCGCGCTCTCTCACATTTTACCATGTTTGCCGCTATCCCGTCCTTGACTGCTCGTTTGCTTTGTAACTGCTCAGTAATGCAGGCCGCACGCGCCGCTTGTTTTCTTTTGCCTCTCTTTCTCTCGCGAGATGTGGTGGGAGATTGACTCGACTCTGTGCGTTATCGCGGGGGCAGCGTTGCAGCAGCGTGCGCGATGACGAGGCCGCAAGCAGCAAGTATGAAAGATGAATAAGGAAGTCAGGCGGAGGGCGCGATCCGCGCTGGGAACAAGGTTTAATAGGATTTAAAACTCAGCCGGGCGAGCAGGCGCCGGGGGACACGACCAGACGGGCGCCAGGAGCATGACCAGAACGGCCATTTCGGGATAACTAAGGCTGTGCCTGAGCGAGGCTCGCTGATATGATTGTGTGGCGTTTGGTCGATAAGTGTGCCGGATGCGGATTGGAGTAGGCTCTCTTCCTGCAGCCTGCAGGCTGAAGGGGAGGTCGAAGGCGTCTGGAGGCTAGCGCTGTTTCGTGCGCAGCTCCTGGGCGGGGGAACCTGTGCGGGAAGGCGCGGACGGATCGGGCAGGCATTGTGTCGACGGAAGGGGCGAGGTGGATGGGGGTCTAGCCCTGAATGGAATGTGCCCCTATCAAAACGTTCGCACACCGAAAACTGGGCGAGCGAGCACCCCATAAGGGGACGGCTCTCAACCTGTCCCCGTTCGGTCAACGCGTCGCGTCGCGCCTTTCCCCGCAACTGACATATACGCGCTGCTTGCCTCTTTCCCCCTCGACCTGCTCGCATCTGCGCCGATAACTATACGTCTGATCCGAAATGAGCGACAAACACCACGCACCGCAGCCCGAGTTCATCGCGGACCAGGACGCGCAGGACTCTGGAGGCGAGGACGACGAGGACTCTGACAAGCCGAAGGACAAGAAGACGGGCCGGCGCAAGATCAAGATTGAATTCATCCAGGACAAGTCGCGGCGGCACATCACCTTCTCCAAGCGGAAGGCCGGTGCGTCTCTCTCTCTTCCATTTTTGGGCGACGCGTCGGATGGAGAGCTGACGTTTGCTCGCAGGGATCATGAAGAAAGTACGCGTTTGGACGCGTCAATCCGCGCGAGATTAGCGTTTGCTGATTGACACCCCTGCAGGCATACGAGCTTTCCACGCTCACCGGCACCCAGGTCCTGCTCCTCGTCGTGTCCGAGACCGGGCTCGTGTACACGTTCACGACCGCCAAGCTGCAGCCGCTCGTGACCCAGCCGGAGGGCAAGAACCTGATCCAGGCATGTCTCAACGCGCCCCACGGGCAGTTACCCACGTCGGGCGGGCTACCCACGCCTTCGCCGTCGACCATCGGCAGTCGTATGAGCGCACCCAGTCACTCGAATGTTCCCGGAGGGCTAAGCATCGGTTCAGGCGCCAAAGAAGAAGACGACGACAGCGACCGCCCCGGCGCTAAGCGTAGACGCCGCTCAAGCACCTCCGGCTCTGGCCGCCCGCGCTCCCCGCAGAGCCCGGCCAGCGGCGGGCTTCCCCAGCCGCTCGCCATACCGCCTGGTGCTCCCCTCCCGCAGATGATGGGCACACCCACAGGCGCCCCTCCCACGCAGAGCCCCGCACAGCCTGCGCCGCCCGCAAGTCCGCACTACACGCACTCCAGCCCAGGTTACCCGCCCGCTCCACAGTCGTCCAGTGATGTCTACGGCCAACCCATGATGCAACACCCGCAGAGTGCGTACTACCCGCCGCCTGCAGCCTCGGGACAGTGGCCGGGCGCAGTGCAGGGCGGACAGCCGCACTACGCGGGACGGCGATGAGAGCCGCCCGACCGCGAGCGTCTGTTTCTTGCTTCTGCTTCACGTATCGATACGCTACGCTCTCGTTGAATGCCCTCCTTGCTTGCTCTCGCGCGCGTTCCACCACGAATTGTTTATTCCTCTATCTCAGTCGTCACCGTTCCTCTTGGTAGATACGCTCGTCCCGTGTCGTTGCTCGCCCAGAAATCTGTCCGCTGCTCTGTATCCTCGCTACATACGTTGTACCAGTACGCCACCTCCACCCCTCGCTCGTCGCACATCCAAGCCACAATACACGCTTTCGTCGCATCTACCGTATGCGGCAAGTGGCCCTGTCAAACAACAACTGTTCCCAATGGACCTTACCATATCTGTCCATGCCCCTTCAGCCACACGGCCACAGGCCACGCAGCGCACATATACAAACCAACAAACATCGCGAGGCTTCGATTCCGCGTCCGTTTCTGGCAATGGGCGTGGCGTGCACCAGCCGCAAAGGGAAAGGGCGGGGGGCGAAAGCGTCGTGATTTTCCTCTGATGGGTACGCGCTTACCCGCCTGGTCCGTGCGCGAGGACCTGACTTGGCCGATCGATGCCGATTCAGGCCCTCCGCTCGCGTGATTCTGTTGATCGAGCTGATGCCCGTTGGCACGGCGACGAATTGCCCGGCGCCGTCGGACTCGACCGGAATTGAGCGCAGCGCCGGCACGCGCT